GAAAATTCATAGAAACGCGAAAAATCAAGGCGTTATTTTCATATTCAATATAATTTGTGGGCATTTATATTCCTTTTCAGTTTATTTACATTTTTTTAAAAATTTTATTATCTTTAATAATTGACTAAAGTTTTGATAATTAATGATTCATAGGACTTCTTTTTTCAATTCATTCCATACACAGTTGATTAAACAAAGTCATAAGTTTCGTTTTTCATTCTTTAGACTGCATTGTCTGATACTGTTTAGTTCTTGTTCAAGACACAAAGAAAGGCAAGAATAATCATTATAATAGTACGATTTGCATTAGTGATAGAAGTATTTTTTTTGTTTGTTCTTTGATATCTTTTTTGTATTTACCTTTTTTTCTTTATTCTAGACTATGTACCGAAAAAAGTTAATATCAACAATTCTATACTTTTCAAGTTCAATCGCTTATTGGATAATATCTCTTTGACTGTAATGTGTATTCGAGACTTTCTTGATTCTGTGTCTACTCATGAAATATTTTATAGTAAGGACAAGTTGAATGCAACTAATCTAAATATTCAAGCATCACCAGTTGTTAATGAAAAATTGCCTATCAATCTTTTGTCCAGACAAGGTGTTACACTTGGATTATTTTTAAAACGAAAACTTGGACTTCATTATCTTGGTGTAAATGAATTATTGTATTTTATTCATCTTTTCTTTGTGTTATTATGTAATTGGTTATTTTCTTTCTCTTGTTCAGCTTATTTATCACAAGCAACTACTTTGCTCTGTATATAGTTACTACTACTGCTACTACTACTATTATCTATATTCACTGGTGGCTAATGTTAAATTTGAATGACAAGACTAGTTGTTAGATAAATTCAAGCGTTTTCGAACGTGTTGTGAAACAAGAAATGGCATGAAAACGTAAATAAGTTAATTTGCATTGAAAATTAACAGAAAATAAGTAAAACGATTTATAACACTAATAATTACTTTGCGAATCGCTATCCTCCCCCCCCCTCTGTCGACATTTTATTTCAAACTTGTATATCTTTGTTTACTTATATTTTCCAATTGATCAATTTGATTTAATTCATCTTGATCAATAGTCCCATGATTTTTTTGATTTCGACTCTGATATCAATATACAAATCTCAAGCATTCCCTTCATTGACTCATGATGAATAGAGTTTTGACTAAAAGTCGGACAGTGCTTTTAGATAGTGTAATATTTTCCCCAAGAAATTTCATTATAGTTTATCCAGTGAATATGCACACCAGTTTGCTAAATAAACCAATTCATAGTTTTCTTACAGTCTCAAGAATATCTACTAGCCACTTTTTTAATAGTAATAATATGAGGATCCATACATGTCTAAAATTGGACAGTAAAGTAATCTACTTCAGACAAACTATGAATTTCTGATATAGTTAATCGTATGGGTTTTATATAGTTGTAAATATCTTGGTGAATTTGATTCTTCTTCTCCATTAGTTCACAGAGCTGTTAGTTTTATTTTTTAAATTTCGGCCAGATATATTGCCACTGTAAAATAAGACGGCTTGTACATCTTTTAGAGCCTTTAAGAAGTTGGTGGTTACACAAAACATGTGGACCTAAACGATATACTTATAATTTCATACATGTTATTGATTTGATAATTTCTCAGAAAATATATAGTTTTCAATTAATTCTTATGACGTTTTTTTCATATATTCCTATTTTTGTTTTTGCAAAAATGGCACCATTGTCTTCCTAATTACGCGCTGCATAGTCGCTGATCATTCGTATGACAGTTCATGTGACTCTCCGATTTCTCTTGTCGAATTTATGGATAAATTGGTTCAATAATTCAACATTTATCAATTTAATTATTTCTAATCGAAAGTTGAATTCATGTGCCATAGGTATCAATAGAACGTCATCGTTATCATCATTAACCAGACCTACACAAACCATCGGTTTACACGAATCTTCATCCCGGCAAAGATTTATCACTAGCAAATTATACAGAAAAAAATATTATCAATCAAATATTGATTGAATTACGTGAGCATATTACTAGTCATTGTTTAAAGGTATTCGTCTTTCATTAATAGTAATAATAATAATATTGTTATGATACTTATTTATTTGCTCTTACCGTGTGATATTTATTCTCTTTAAATGATTGAAAAAAATTCATTGAGTTATAAACGTGTTCCTTTTTCATTTGATATATTTCATGATCATTAACCACCTTTAACTTCAAAAGAAAAGCATTCTTTTTCATCAAATCTAAACCTAGATCACGTAACATTGTAGTCGGTGATGATATTACTGAATTGTTAAAATCTAATGCCGTGTCCTTTAATTAAATATTATGAATAACTTTTTTCAATGTGAATTATACAGGCTTATTTGTTTTGTTGAGTTTCAGGTTAGTGTTTTTAATCCTACTGTTACTGATTGTCTAACAGGTGTAAGAAAGTTTAAACAGATAATGCAGTGATTAGAAGTTAAATGCTTTAAATACTAATACTCTGTCATGTTTATCACTACAACGGCAAGTCATAAATGATTATTAACGTTTGTAGAATAAATGATTAGCGTCATTCAGATAGTGCACAGTTTTGAATCAAAGCGTCTGTTTCTTCTTTGAATCCACTATCTGGGTTTTTTTGACTCTCATCTATTAAGCACTTGGTAGATTAATGGTTTACTATCCACTAGTTGTAAACGGTGTTCTACATGAAACTTTTTCATCCACATTGTATAATTTGACTCATAACCTTGAGTTACTCAAACACTATCAAAAAACAAAGCACCTGGTGTTAAAGTATTGTTTATTTCCTTCAAACATTTATTGTTAAAAAGTTAGTAAACAGTCAAAGTGAAAGAATTTCTATGTCTTTGTTATTTCACAATAACTTATTCGCCTCAGTCAATTATATCTTCAATAAACACTGAAATCTGTCGTCGTTGTTGTCATCATAAACTATCTAGAAAGATGATGTTGTTTTTCAAGTCCTATCTTCAAAGCATAGCTGATACATCTTTTCAGAAATCTACATTCGTTTCCGTGTTATTACACACACCAGTACACTATAAAGTGAATAGGATTTGATGTGTTCGAAATTTGATGATAGTTTGCTACAACTGATTAGTTTGTGATAACCCTGGTCAAATGAGCCGGTTAGGGCATTTATTATCGATGCACAATAACCTTCTTCCTCGACGTACTGCGTTGAAGGTTGTCGAGCCAAAACGTAGCATCAGGAATTTCTTTAATAGAAATTAGCTTTGTTTAAGAAGTATAGACTACCCACTTTAAATGAGCACACTTATCGTAACCACTGTTTGAAGATGCTCACTAACTTAGATTGTCGCAGATGAATTCACTCATCCTCGTGATCTTGAGTCCTAAAACTATCTTTCACTTTTTGTTCATCCTTTTTATATTTTTTCGGACTCACTGTTACTGTTTTCACAAATGACATTTGTTCTGATTATTTTATCTAACTCTACTGATACTGTATGGCAATCTAAACTGATGCACATATGGAGCAAGTTGTACTTTACTTATATCTGACTGACTCATTAACAGATGGCTATAACATTAAATCATATTAGTGACTATATAGTAGTTTTTGGAAATCGGATGACTGAAGTTAAACTTATGACCTTGTTTTGCTTCATGTTCAAAACAAAATAAAAACAACATTTTGTTCCAAGTATTCATTTCTGTCACAAAAAGTAAGATTGACATGGGGGGTTACATTCACGAGCAAAACGTTTTTGAATCTACTAACTAATAACAATACTTATATCGATTGATTACGGAGAGGTGATGAATGCCATATTTGTCTATTCCTCTTAAGCTCTGGTTGATTTCTATCAGGCAGCAATGTGGTGGTTATCAGTCTGATTGAATTGATATCGTCTTCAATAATGTTAAGCAATCAAAATTAGCAGACAGCAAACCTTAGATCTGAACTTTACGTTAATCAATACTCATCAGCCGGGCGTATCCTTAATTTTCATGGAACTAATGCTTCCAGATCATTTAGCATGAAACTTGTGTCCAAAATTTTCTACCAGCTACCTTCAGCCACTTAACATTGACAACATTGTTCCATTGTATAGTTAATTATTAGTGAAGATTATTACTAGTTAATTTATTGTTTTTGTTCTTATGGCTGGTTTACTCTTCATTTCTAGATTATATTGTATGGTGAAGTTGATCAAGTGAAAAGCTTATATTCATATATTCATTTACTGTTACAATTATCACCATCATTAAATGCTTACAATAATAGTGTGGATAATTACAGAATTGAATATGGTTAGTTCATTTACATAGTTATATATGCATCATTTACAGTATCTGCTTATGAAACATTATACTCTTTCATACTATTGTTATTTTTCTTCTGGTCTATAATTATTATTATTATTTTAATTAACTTATGCATTCTTTATAGTGATACATCATTACATTTGATAATTTTCTATTTCAGCCAAAAAAGAAACAAAATAATTATAGTTAATTATAAAAATGTCAAAATCACTATTCTTATTTATCTTACCGTCAGTTATTGTTAATAATAATTTGTATGTACCTATTATTATTTACTCGTTACAATGTTTAAGTTCGCTTTTGAGCCATATTCTAGATCTGATGTATGGCAATATAACCTGGTTGCTCAAATCGAAGTAAGTAGAATGGGGTTCAAACCTGGGGCTTAGCAATTAGAATCCAAAGGTTTGGCTACCGAATCGCATATACAATTATACTCTTGTGGGATGCCTCAATAATTAGTTCACTTCATTTTGTATCATGACTAACAAGTAAATCCAGAACATGTATGACATCGTTTTTGCAACTCGTTAAAAGTGCATATACTTATAAAGACTTATAAGAGTCAGTTGTGAGTTTCAACAACCTGACACTACATACTCTTATACTGTATAATAAAATTGGACATATATTTAGTAGTTTGTAAACTAAATATGAACACAAAATTAGTGTAATAATACAAGTGATAAATGTAATACATATGACTTGCTGATTTGATAATCCATGAACTGATGTACACTGGATGAGTAATGGTAAGGATGAAACGAGTGCTGAATACACTGTGCATGGATACAAGAAAAAAGTCATCACAGACACAGAGTCAAAGATAGTTTTCGTCATGAACAACTAACGTTAACTGAATAAACCGACAAAAACTAACAATTATTTGAATCTTCTTTAATTAATGCTCTAAATCCACAATACCCATATTGTTATGCAGTGTCCGGCTGAGGTACTGAAACGCAGTTTGTCTATACACGAACCCAATCGACCGTGTAAGTGAGAGGACCTTCATTGCTTAAGCAACTAACTACACTTATTCAGACGTAAATGTAAATCTATATATTCATCCGTTAGAAATTTAAACCGTATTGTATCTGACCCTTTGGAAAAAAACCATATTTGACCAAACGCCTGTATTTTACGTGTGATCACTGTCTGATTGGATAATATCTTGTGGCACGTATATATAGATTGAGGTCTCATCTGTTTGTGTTCATAACATTTCTTAAAACTACCAATTCTGAAACCTAACATGTCGCATATTTTTGTATTCAGTTAGTCCGTGATATTTTGTTATTTTTATTCAACTTCATTGACATACTTCTTCCTTAAGATGTAGCTCACGTCACATGATGTGGCTTTTTACCGCGATCTTGTAAAATTCTTAAAAGTAGTCGTAAGTACATTTATCACTGAATTGTTTAAATAATCTTCATCTAGGATAAAATCTTCACAAAAGCAGGTAACCTATACGTAGATATAAAATACAAAACTTAAAAAAATTGACCGGTTTTTACTATTGTACTAACTTCCTGTACGAAAGTATTGGTGTTGGTATCAGCTAGATAATATATGTCTTTGGTAGAGTTTTGTTCCTCCACTTGAATAGCTAAAGGATCAAACTCCACCAAAAACATCTTCAACCACTACAACAGCTCCATCAGAGATATTGCCATTTTCATCTGCATACGTTTCATTGAATCATTTTTGTTTACTATCAGTTCATATCTATACTGAAACGTTTTTGGGTGTGCATTTCTCCTTGTTGATATAATTGTATACAGATATTATAGTTTTTTCCCTTTGTAGAAGAAACGAGTGATCAGGTTTCATGTGCTCACTGGTGGGCTCAAATGTTGAATATTCTCTGGGAATATAGATGTAATCAAACCACACTACCTTTACAAACAGTATCATCATCATCAAAATTGCAAATAACAGGAAAAAAGTCAAACCAAACGTATCATGCTGTTACACCTCAATCACTTTCCAACTGTCCTCGTTTAGGTGATCTAGTTAAAATGTTATCGATTATTAATAAGTAAGTTATCAGTAATGTACAATATATATATACGTTGGTCTTTTACGATTTGATTATCGATTTGGTCTCGTGTGTTTTTACGGATGTGAGGACGGTGTCACTTTCCGGCTGCCCACACCGTGGGGGCATCGGCCTCGTGATTTCCGAAAGAACTCGGCATTCATCATGAATCGTCATTACTCTTCTAAATAAAGACTTTCTAACTCCCCGGGCAGTTTAAATGGTTTGAATAATTTTTGCTTGTTACCCTTTTAACTGACTGACTGATAGGTTGGTCTTATTAGCTATAGCTCGATAAGTTGAAATTAACAAGATAAATTACAAAAGAATCGCAATTATGTTACATCAATGACAATGAGAAAGACTAACCACTGTAGAAAGGCAGAATGAAAATGTATGTATGAAAGAATACTGGAACTTAATATCTCGTGGCTGTTAAAGATTGAATGCCCTTGAACTATTCTCACCCATATCACCAAACATCTCCAACCACTGTTCATGGTTATCATGCGTTCCCCCAGTAACTAGTTTTCAGACTTACTTTTGAAGTATTTTATCATGATTTCTTGCGATAATGTTCCAAGTATCATGAACTTAGTGTTACGCCAACTTACTACTATTGACGTATTGACTTGAAACTAAATAATGTAGCGGTTCGCATCGATCCAGAAGGTACTTCGTGGACTAGGGGAGCATGCATAGTAGTGTGAAGGAAAAGAACAAAAGAGGTGAACCGGATGCTCAACAATCCCATAAAATCCACTTAGTTTCAGTAAGCATAGCTGTAAACAACAATCAGCAATCACGCAAGCTTCAGATTCAGAAAATCCGGAAGGCGAAACTAGCTGCGGATAGCGTGAAGATTTCACACAATTTTATGAGTTATGTAATGAATCTCCTATAGGAACTGATGAACAAAAACCTAGGTTTAAACATAATGCTAAACAATCGATGTACATCATATAATCATGTCATTTTTTTTTTCAAATTTATTAATGTCGTAAACTTTTGAACCATTTGATAGACACCAAACAAACCTGTTTTGAAAGTTTCTATTTCATCACATGCGTTTTAAACTAATAATTTATTAAATTTTCACAAACTGATACCATCCTGTTTATATACTATCCCGTACTATTTTTAGTCATTAACAAAATCGTTCGCGATGGCGCAGATGCATCCATTCTTTGTCTTCTCTCAAATCCGAATCATCCGAATTCCTGATGATCCGTTTATTTCTTTTTTTTAAATTGACTCCATTGGGATATACGTCTCGAATTATGTCTTCGATCTGTAGTCTTTTTGATTACTGCTAATATTTTTACTACCTTTACTACTATGAGATTTGAATTGATAATTTGATATCTGTGGTATGGTAACTTGAATCGATGTACGTACGTACGTACAAAGTTCTACGTTGTAGTTGACTGACTGACTAAGGATTTCCACTTATAATTAGTAATTCTCATTCATAAAAATCTTATTTCCATCGTAAATACTACAGTTCTATCTATTTCTATCACATGTAAACAGTTTTTGGAGAACACAGGTTTATTTATAATCCTCATATCACCGTCACTTACTAAGTTCGTTCTCACTATGTTTTTAATTAGATTTTATCCCCATGATACTATCATAAATGGTAATTACAGATATGAACACTTCGCAATCTTTTATCACATAAATTAAATATATTATACATTTATTTATGTATTGTTCATAGATTTGATTCTTTGGAATGGAACTCAACTTCTTGTATCCTACATACTGTATGTTCTTTAGTACGAAATCTTAAAAAATCTTGTCGAAATTTAACTCATATCAATATGGTTAATAAAGATCCTTCTGAAACTGATCTTCAATTAGATTATATGAGATTCAACTTTCTGGTATGTTCGTATTGTTACTGTCACGAAATATATTACTTTAAATTTTCGTTGTTGCTATCGTTCAGATTTTTCGTTTGTTTGAATAAATTATCATAAAGCATCTCTTAATCTTCTGTTAGTTCATGCTCCCTGGTCTCTAAGACCAACGCTAATCCACCTTCCTTTTCAGGTTCCTCAATCAACACCCTTCCATAGTGTGGGCAATGGGGAAGTAACATCTACCCATAACAGCATACGAGACCGAATCGGTCACCATCAAATCCTTCCTTCAACTTCACCAATTTTGTTCAATTCATAATCAGTAGATTTTGTACTCTTAATAATTGTTCTCATTCAAATTATGTAGTATGATCACTGAAAGTAGGTTTCTAATTCTCAACTATCCTTTGAATGTTTTTATACGCTGTCTGTCTTGACGTGCAATGACAGTAGGTTTGAAAAAAGCTAAGGACAACTAGTGTCAGACGTTGTACTGGCTCATTTGTCGTTTACTGTTGGATTGGACTGGGTTACTTGGTGTAGATTACCTAGTTGAAGTCTGCGCGACTATTGTATGATGTTGAATGACATGAATTAGAATTGATCCCAGTGATCCAGATTCATTCTCTCTTTGTCTTAACATACTTATATTCCTTCTTTTTTTAATTCATTCTTCTCGAGTTATGTTGTTTTTATCTAATATTTTTTACTGGTACTACTTCTGCTACTGTTGGAATTTTAAGCGGAGTTGAATAGTGGTTAGCACCGAAACCCAGAATACCCGTTTCATCACGTTTTCTAATTGTGATCTGCATATACCTGCGTTCCGGTATTGATGTTTGCTCTAAAACTCGAACTCAATTCCTTTTGCTTCAAATATCATTGAAATATCCGATTAAATATTGAGTCCAGATAGTCACAAGCCTGCACAGCAAAGTTCTACCGTAATTCATTTGTAAGGGTTCAACTATTCTTGTCACGGTGAAGGACCAAAACTGATCAGTTTTTTTCCTGATGTTTAACTCTACTAAGAAATCACATTAATTGTTAGCACAATATTGATATTTCTAGTCACTAATTAGTAACTAGTCACTAACTGGTAAATAGTCGATCATACGATGATATCCATCTTATTTTTGTAAATATTTTATTTCTAATAATTAGTTATTAATTATTGATGAAAACTATTGTCAAAGGTTGAAGTTATCTTGATAAATTATGCAAGTAATTCATAAAAGTTAATGGTCGTTTAGTTTAATTTTATTTTTTAAATCAATTGCGTACTGGTTAAGGCATTCTACTATTTTAACTATGAAATTGAAAGCTTGAAATAACATTTCCTACATCTACATTGGTTTTGGCAATCATTGAGCAGTAGCAGTAGCACAGTAACTCTTATAAAATGTGATATGTAAATCCAGGCGCATAATTTTATGCCTAATAATGAGTTAATAATTTTGTTAGAAAATAATCAACACTTCAACACAGTTCGTAATAACTAAATACTACTAACAAAAAGTTATACATATATATTGTATGCTGTATATTTTTTCATCGAATTATATATAAATATTATTGAAAATTTTATAAACTTATTAAGCAAATACTATGAGTTTATAATAGATAACTAAAACAATTCAATCCTCCACTTTTTCAAATTCCTTCATTGATGATGACGATGATGTTAATATTTTATTTTTTACAATTCTTAGTTGACGATACCAACTTTTTTGTTTTTGCTGCATTCGATTTGCTTACGTGTTTGTTTATTACTATTTATGGTCTATGTGTATATACAATGACATAATTTGAAGTTTAATATGTGTAAGCTTTGATGTGAAAAATCGCATTGTTGCCTATTTCACTTATTATTATTATTATTATTATTACTAAATTTAAACATTTGTTTCATTAAACAACACTAACTAATATTTCTCTCTCGCTCGCTCGTTCGCTCTCGCAATCAATCACCGTCATTATTTCGGTCTCTTATTTGTTTACTCGATGATATTCACTCACTTGCTCACATAGATATGACGATGTATGGTATATATATAAAAAAAAAAGAAAGACATCATAATATACTTTGAAGTTTTCACAAGTATTATTATTTATTATTATCATTAATATTATTACTATTACGTTAAATTAATTTATTTTTTATCATGTTTTTTATATTTCAAGGCTTGGTCTATGATCGCCACCAGTTGGTTGATTGATGTTTTAATTGTAAAATTAAAAAGTTTCAATCATAGTCATAATGATGGTGATGATGATGATGATGCCGATAATGATGATATGTTAATGAAAAGTACACCGACTACAATTATTAGGAATGATCAATCTGTTGAATTAATTCAAGGTTTCAATAATGCATTGCATTTGTTACAACAATTAGTTGATTATTTCAATATGCCTACATCGAATTGGATTAGAATAAAAGTTGGTCAACATTTGAAATTTCATTTGTTTGTTGTTGTTTTTTGTATTATGTATGTATGATGTATATATTTACATATATCTATGTTATACATAAAGTAAATTTCATGATTACCCTGTTATTCAGGGCTAATTGCCAATCAGTCTTTTTTTGCCATCATCTTTTATGTGAATTGTTTCAATGTAATCATATTGTAAGTATATCCAACTAATATGAATCTTAAATGAAACAAAACATACTTCTTGTATTCCTCTTCTCGTAGCTACAATTTATCTATTCCATTTTTAAAGTTGATTTTACCCATTTTGTTTCTTGGCAACCAGTTATTATTTGCTCCTGTAACAGTTTCATGTTGGAAGTTTTTTCTATTTACGGAATAAGATAACTTTTTAAATAAAGTAGCATACATGCTCATATCATCTGTAGAATGACAATTACAGATATTAATAATTAATTTATGATGATAAGAGTTGCCGATTGTATTTAAATGTAGAAAAACAATCTGTTATATCTATTCATGAATATGTACAAATGGATATAGGCTATGTATATGGACACTTCAAATAGGCATGGTGTTTAGTTTGCTAAACTTATTGATTCATTCTTACTATGTTCACTTGTTGTCAACGGTGATGAACAAATATTTGATTCAACAATTAAAACAAGTAAATAATTTTTGTATACAACTAGTAGCGGAATTCAAAGGAAAAGCTTTGATCGGTAAAGAATTTTAACCAGTAATTGTTTAATGACCTCTCTCTTAAACGGAATTTATAGGCTGTAAATTCAGTCCGTGATTTAGAATATTGAGTGAGTTAATAGTATGTAACAATCAGATGTAAAATAAATATAAGCTGATGAATTTCGTCACATGTCATTTAGTTTGATAACAACAGCCAGTTAGAAGTACGGTCTAGTTTGTTGACAGTCCCTTGTCATACAAAGTTCCGTGATCTGTCAGTCTCATTCTGTAAATCGTTCATTCAACCCGAGTACTTAACTCACTCGTTGCTGTTGAAAGAGGAAATATAAGTGATTCTTAAAAGATTTGTTCGAAAATCTGTACAGTAATCGTATATTTATTTGAGGTTGTGACATGTGATCCTTCTAACTCAGAAGCAACATCTGATCTGTCTAGGCTTCACAGAACACCACAAGGTTGAAATTAGGAAATCGTCTTAGCATTCAAACAGACAATATACTTTCTCTGAATTACCAGAATCAACTATTCTTTACTGAGGCCAGTCTGAATTATGCATGATCACAATAATTCGTTGGTTTCAAATGGTACTTTTTATTTCCATATTGATTTTCTTTCTCCCACTATTTGTTTTTTTTTTAGTTACGAAGTGCGGAAGCTGTTCACCGTTTGCTAACTGGAGCATGTCCGATTCGTGCACGATTTGCTCTATTACAAAATTATAGTCTCTCTTGTGTAGCTTCCTCTTCTGTTACAGGTAATATTAAGGATAATTTAACCAAATTGGAGAATGATAACGTTTCCATTCCTAACGTATCTAACCGTAGTGGTAATAATAGTCAGAATTTACTTGACTGTCATGATCGTTTAAATGGGAATGTTTCTGCATTATTTAATCGGTCATCGCATAGAAATGGCATGTTATTACAATCACCAGGGTGTTGAGTGCATTGTTGTGTTTTGTTTTCTGGAAGCCAAATTTTTTGTTGTTAGTATAAACATCTTTCTCATTATACAACGAACAGATAATCAGATTTTTTTCACATTAGTAAACAGTTTTCCAATCTCTTTTTGTATCACCAACACTTTTTCTTTACGCTCAGTTTTCCTGTTCTTGTTAGTGACTGGTAAGTGTGAATCATTGCTAGCGAAAAATTTGGCTACTGCATAACTATCATTTTGAAGTAAATTCCCATATTCTGATGGTTGTAAGTAATATATATATATATATATATATATATATATATATATATATTACTGAATAGTTAATAAATCATGGTTAAATGATGTAATTAACTTTTTGTAGTATGATTTATAAATAAATGTTTGACGTTCTGTTGATTACTAAATCTTTATTATTTCTATTAGTACAATCAGTTTCATAGAGAGAAGTGAAAAGAATTAAAACAAATAGTCCCTTTTATAAATTTTGATAGAATTGTGAGAAGACGTAATAGATCAGAAAAATGTGATGTATTTGCGCTATACATTTCGAACAATCTGGTCACACATTTACTTGTCAAGGCATTTTATATGAAGATGAATAAAAGGTCAATTAAATAAAAGTTCAAATCAACATAGGGTGATAATTGTAAATAAAGGAGAGAGAAAATTAACGTAATATGAAAAGAATAAGAAAGGGTAGGAAAATTGTCAAATTACCCTAGGCTTAAAGATCACCAAGGTAAAATCAAGGTTATGACAAATTGTTTCTGCACACATAAGGGGAGTTTTAATTTTCTAATAGCCAAGGCCTCAAAATTCGTCCTTCAACATTTCTATACATTGTTTTCAAGGCTGTCTTGATGACAATCTTATGCCCTGTCTCAATTATGTATTTTGCGATCGATGAACATGGTTTTCTATTTCCAACGCTAATCGGCTCATCTGACGTTAACTGATTTTGAAGCCACTTAGGTACATGTTCCATAACCCTTGATTGCAAAGTCGTATTACTCCTCCCTATGTATGTGTGTCCACACAAACATGTAAATTGATAAATGCAATGGGATGTGATGTAATCATTCGAGCAACGTTTAGGTATATGTGAAATCATGGACTTGGTCTTTTCAGTGATAATCAGTTTAGCAGCGTTGTATGTTTTCTCTATGGCTGCTTTTACTCTCTGTCTTAATATTAGACCATTTGCTTCACCTCTAAATGGTAAAGTGATTAAAAACCTTTTTCTTCTCAGCAGAATGAAAAACTTACTTTTGTCTTAACTGATGTTTACACCTATTGATGAACTTTAGCGGATAGCCATTTGAAATCAATGCTTCAGTTAAGAATTTTGCATCGTCGTCTAATTAAGGGAAATAGCGAATAAGAGATGTAGATGGGATTAGTGTTTATACGATAGGCATTAATGCCGATTTGTAAGTCTCAGACTAAATTGAGTAACATTCATTGAACGACTGAGTACGTATCTTTATGAGTGATAAAGTTTCTGAGGTCAGCTAAGATCTATCCACAAGCAATTGTTGTATTTGTTTTTCGATGTGCCAGAACTTCACTCCTTTACTTACGTTCTAATTATCATGCTTCGCTATTACATAAAAGAGTTTAAGAAAAATTTATTTTGACTTCTGCAGATCAGTAGTACATTTCAGTATTTCCACGTATGTGTCGTGTATTAATAACGACTGTGCTTATAAGTAGTATGCAGCAGTGTCAGATCAGGATTCATGGCTCGAACTGTTTGTTTTAAAGAGTAGAAAACTGCCAATAATACCCTTGTCTCTCAAATGAATATCTATGATAGCGTGTACACTTTTTTATCTAGTGGATTGTGTCCTAAAATAAATACCATACCCTATCTGAATTTCCATCTTCGTTCATCACGTGTTCACTCACGTCTAATATGTGTGACATGAAATTTGAAAACCGGTGGTCCATTAGAATTGCGATGAGGAACTTGCTTGTTGTGAGTCCCGTCTATATTGCTTCGTGACTAGTTTTAATCCCTCATTATCCGGTTAGTTCAAATTTTAAATTGGAAATTAAACGCGATGTGAGACGGATAGTTTTGTTGTCATAAAGAGTAATAGTATCTATCACGCAGGAGACCACAGTTCTATACTGCGGAAGCCAGATGACCCTAATTCATGTTTCAGTCATAGCACGTGTGGTAGCTCGTTCAGAAATTGAGGAAGACAGTTCCCTTGAACAACATCCCGAGGTGAGCAGATCGCATCACAACTGACGGTGGATATGGCAATTTGTATTCGTCACATGTAATGTGACTAAAGTCTTATGTTGCTGACACTGCCGCTTAAGCTACCGGTCTTTCTTCGGCTTCAGACTATTGTCTACAAGAACCGTCTTCATTGTAAAGGCGGTAAACCGATCGTTACATGTGGTTGAGGGTATGCCAACGCGGAGTCATCCACTTAAATTATGTCATGAAGCAATTATCGTCGTTGATCACTGCTATACACCTGATAGAATACCACTAAGCATCTATCAAAGAAAACGGTAACGTTATACTGTCTTTTTGTAGCATCTGGGTGTAAGTTGTTTCCTGTTCGATTTGTGCGGACATATAGCTAGCATTAGCAAGCGTCATACCATAACTACAGGATCACCTGTGTTCACAAAAGAGTATGGATTAACTCCTGAAGAGTTAAAAAATAATCTGATTGTTTAGTATATTTAATAATCGCCCAGTTTTCTGAAAGCCGATAGACATCTCCGTTTCATATGGTGCTTGAATAGGATGGCGGTGATTGATATGTAACCCGAAACTACCACTATATGCTACCTGTTATTTCGAATTCGCAACTTGACGGTTACGGTAGAAGATATGGCTTGCAAAAAGTAATTTCAAAAGTTGCATTCTCAATAATCAGAAGTGTTTAAATGCAACGGAATCTCTTGACTGTCTAGAGCATGACACTGAACTTGCTAGTCTTTCATAAAATAAGTAAGCACCGATTATGGATAATCCACAATCGACCAAGGCTATGAAGTTGCACACTTTCTCTGGACTGGTAACCTTCTACCTACCTTACCTATCAATCAACCGTCTCAAATGGAACTTTATATGAAAATGTCAGTGTGCAGTGACACAGACGTGATAGGGATTCTAATTACCGACGTCAGTCAAACGGAGTGGGCCGAAATTTAATTACACGGAAAGTCAAACTGAAGATATATGTACTAGGATATTCCATGATTCTTACTTACTTGCGTCTGTTACTCACGATGGAGCGTATGACCTCGACCAGTTTTCTCCAGCCAACTCTGTCTTGGGCTTCCTTGCCAGTTTTTGTTCATTCTCCACATGTCTTTCTCTATTTCTCGGTGTAATGTGTTCCCTGACCTCCCCTATTCCTTTGACCTTGAGGGTTCCATGTGAGGGCTTGTCTCTTGACGCAGTTAGGTGCTTTGCGTAGTGTGTGTCCTATCTATTTCCACCACTTCTTCCTGATTTCCTCCTCCAGTGGAGTCTGGTTGGTTCTCTCCCACATCAGGTTGTTGCTGATGATGTCTGGCCGACAGATCCGAAGTATTTTGCAAAGACAACTGTTAATAAACACTTGTATCTTCTGGATGATGGTTTTGGTAGTTCTCCATACAATAGAACTGTTTTGACATTTGTATTGAAAATCCTGATTATAGTGTTGATTGATATTTGTTAGGAGTTCCATATATTTTTCAATTGTAGAAATGCAGCCCTTGCCTTGCTGATCTGCTCCCTCACATCTACATCCGATCCACCTCGGTTGTTGATGATGCTGCTTAGATATGTAAAGGTTTCAACGTCCTCCAAGACATCTCCATCAAGAGTGATTTGGTTGGTGTGTGTTGTGATGCATCGGAAAATCTTACTTTTCCCTTTATGTATGTTGAGACATACTGCTGCTACACTGGTTGTCTTCCTTGCATTTGTTGTTGCCTGTGCGATAGAAGAGCCAGGTCATCTGCGAAGTCCAGATAGTCAAGTTACGTCCTAACTGTCCATTGTATACCGTGCTTCCCTCCAGATGTTGACGTCCTCCATAATCTAGTCGATCAACATTGAGCAGATAAAGGGAGTGAGAGTGAGAAGCTTCCAAGACTAACACCTCATTGACACAGGTTGAGCAGGGATGGAACCTCTCTCTTTTCGATCCCTCGCCGCTGGTTCAATACTAATAGTATTGAACGCAGGGCGAGGGATCGAAAAGAGAGAGGTTCCAAGGCTGCTCAACCTGTGTCAATGAGGTGTTAGTCTTGGAAGCTTCTCACACTCACTCCCTTTATCTGCTCAATGTTGAGCGACTAGATTATGGAGACGTCAACATCTGGAGGGAAGCACGGTATACAATGGACAGTTAGGACGTAACTTGACTATCTGGACTTCGCAGATGACCTGGCTCTTCTATCGCACAGGCAACAACAAATGCAAGGGAAGACAACCAGTGTAGCAGCAGTATGTCTCAACATACATAAAGGGAAAAGTAAGATTTTCCGATGCATCACAACACACACCAACCAAATCACTCTTGATGGAGATGTCTTGGAGGACGTTGAAACCTTTACATATCTAAGCAGCATCATCAACAACCGAGGTGGATCGGATGTAGATGTGAGGGAGCAGATCAGCAAGGCAAGGGCTGCATTTCTACAATTGAAAAATATATGGAACTCCTAACAAATATCAATCAACACTATAATCAGGATTTTCAATACAAATGTCAAAACAGTTCTATTGTATGGAGAACTACCAAAACCATCATCCAGAAGATACAAGTGTTTATTAACAGTTGTCTTTGCAAAATACTTCGGATCTGTCGGCCAGACATCATCAGCAACAACCTGATGTGGGAGAGAACCAACCAGACTCCACTGGAGGAGGAAATCAGGAAGAAGTGGTGGAAATAGATAGGACACACACTACGCAAAGCACCTAACTGCGTCAAGAGACAAGCCCTCACATGGAACCCTCAAGGTCAAAGGAATAGGGGAGGTCAGGGAACACATTACACCGAGAAATAGAGAAAGACATGTGGAGAATGAACAAAAACTGGCAAGGAAGCCCAAGACAGAGTTGGCTGGAGAAAACTGGTCGAGGTCATACGCTCCATCGTGAGTAACAGACGCAAGTAAGTAAGAATCATGGAATATCCTAGTACATATATCTTCAGTTTGACTTTCCGTGTAATTAAATTTCGGCCCACTCCGTTTGACTGACGTCGGTAATTAGAATCCCTATCACGTCTGTGTCACTGCACACTGACATTTTCATATAAAGTTCCATTTGAGACGGTTGATTGATAGGTAAGGTAGGTAGAAGGTTACCAGTCCAGAGAAAGTGTGCAACTTCATAGCCTTGGTCGATTGTGGATTATCCATAATCGGTGCTTACTTATTTTATGAAAGACTAGCAAGTTCAGTGTCATGCTCTAGACAGTCAAGAGATTCCGTTGCATTTAAACACTTCTGATTATTGAGAATGCAACTTTTGAAATTACTTTTTGCAAGCCATATCTTCTACCGTAACCGTCAAGTTGCGAATTCGAAATAACAGGTAGCATATAGTGGTAGTTTCGGGTTACATATCAATCACCGCCATCCTATTCAAGCACCATATGAAACGGAGATGTCTATCGGCTTTCAGAAAACTGGGCGATTATTAAATATACTAAACAATCAGATTATTTTTTAACTCTTCAGGAGTTAATCCATACTCTTTTGTGAACACAGGTGATCCTGTAGTTATGGTATGACGCTTGCTAATGCTAGCTATATGTCCGCACAAATCGAACAGGAAACAACTTACACCCAGATGCTACAAAAAGACAGTATAACGTTACCGTTTTCTTTGATAGATGCTTAGTGGTATTCTATCAGGTGTATAGCAGTGATCAACGACGATAATTGCTTCATGACATAATTTAAGTGGATGACTCCGCGTTGGCATACCCTCAACCACATGTAACGATCGGTTTACCGCCTTTACAATGAAGACGGTTCTTGTAGACAATAGTCTGAAGCCGAAGAAAGACCGGTAGCTTAAGCGGCAGTGTCAGCAACATAAGACTTTAGTCACATTACATGTGACGAATACAAATTGCCATATCCACCGTCAGTTGTGATGCGATCTGCTCACCTCGGGATGTTGTTCAAGGGAACTGTCTTCCTCAATTTCTGAACGAGCTACCACACGTGCTATGACTGAAACATGAATTAGGGTCATCTGGCTTCCGCAGTATAGAACTGTGGTCTCCTGCGTGATAGATACTATTACTCTTTATGACAACAAAACTATCCGTCTCACATCGCGTTTAATTTCCAATTTAAAATTTGAACTAACCGGATAATGAGGGATTAAAACTAGTCACGAAGCAATATAGACGGGACTCACAACAAGCAAGTTCCTCATCGCAATTCTAATGGACCACCGGTTTTCAAATTTCATGTCACACATATTAGACGTGAGTGAACACGTGATGAACGAAGATGGAAATTCAGATAGGGTATGGTATTTATTTTAGGACACAATCCACTAGATAAAAAAGTGTACACGCTATCATAGATATTCATTTGAGAGACAAGGGTATTATTGGCAGTTTTCTACTCTTTAAAACAAACAGTTCGAGCCATGAATCCTGATCTGACACTGCTGCATACTACTTATAAGCACAGTCGTTATTAATACACGACACATACGTGGAAATACTGAAATGTACTACTGATCTGCAGAAGTCAAAATAAATTTTTCTTAAACTCTTTTATGTAATAGCGAAGCATGATAATTAGAACGTAAGTAAAGGAGTGAAGTTCTGGCACATCGAAAAACAAATACAACAATTGCTTGTGGATAGATCTTAGCTGACCTCAGAAACTTTATCACTCATAAAGATACGTACTCAGTCGTTCAATGAATGTTACTCAATTTAGTCTGAGACTTACAAATCGGCATTAATGCCTATCGTATAAACACTAATCCCATCTACATCTCTTATTCGCTATTTCCCTTAATTAGACGACGATGCAAAATTCTTAACTGAAGCATTGATTTCAAATGGCTATCCGCTAAAGTTCATCAATAGGTGTAAACATCAGTTAAGACAAAAGTAAGTTTTTCATTCTGCTGAGAAGAAAAAGGTTTTTAATCACTTTACCATTTAGAGGTGAAGCAAATGGTCTAATATTAAGACAGAGAGTAAAAGCAGCCATAGAGAAAACATACAACGCTGCTAAACTGATTATCACTGAAAAGACCAAGTCCATGATTTCACATATACCTAAACGTTGCTCGAATGATTACATCACATCCCATTGCATTTATCAATTTACATGTTTGTGTGGACACACATACATAGGGAGGAGTAATACGACTTTGCAATCAAGGGTTATGGAACATGTACCTAAGTGGCTTCAAAATCAGTTAACGTCAGATGAGCCGATTAGCGTTGGAAATAGAAAACCATGTTCATCGATCGCAAAATACATAATTGAGACAGGGCATAAGATTGTCATCAAGACAGCCTTGAAAACAATGTATAGAAATGTTGAAGGACGAATTTTGAGGCCTTGGCTATTAGAAAATTAAAACTCCCCTTATGTGTGCAGAAACAATTTGTCATAACCTTTTTTTTACCTTGGTGATCTTTAAGCCTAGGGTAATTTGACAATTTTCCTACCCTTTCTTATTCTTTTCATACTACGTTAATTTTCTCTCTCCTTTATTTACAATTATCACCCTATGTTGATTTGAACTTTTAATTTAATGACCTTTTACTCATCTTCATATAAAAAGTTTTTTTTTTTTTTTTTGTGACCAGATTGTTCGAAATGTATAGCGCAAATACATCACATTTTTCTGATTTATTACGTCTTCTCACAATTCTATCAAAATTTATAAAAGGGACTATTTGTTTTAATTCTTTTCAATTCTCTCTATGAAATTGATTGTACTAATAGAAATAATAAAGATTTAGTAATCAGCAGAACGTCAAACATTTATTTATAAATCATACTACAAAAGTTAATTACATCATTTAACCATGATTTATTAACTATTCAGTAATATATATATATATATATATATATATATATTTTTTTCTTACAACCATCAGAATATGGGAAATTACTTCAAAATGATAGTTATGCAGTAGCCAAATTTTTCGCTAGCAATGATTCACACTTACCAGTCACTAACAAGAACAGGAAAACTGAGCGTAAAGAAAAAGTGTTGGTGATACAAAAAGAGATTGGAAAACTGTTTACTAATGTGAAAAAAATCTGATTATCTGTTCGTTGTATAATGAGAATGATGTTTATACTAACAACAAAAATTTTGGCTTCCAGAAAACAAAACACAACAATGCACTCAACACCCTGGTGATTGTAATAACATGCCATTTCTATGCGATGACCGATTAATTAATGCAGAAACATTCCCATTTAAACGATCATGACAGTCAAGTAAATTCTGACTATTATTACCACTACGGTTAGATACGTTAGGAATGGAAACGTTATCATTCTCCAATTTGGTTAAATTATCCTTAATATTACCTGTAACAGAAGAGGAAGCTACACAAGAGAGACTATAATTTTGTAATAGAGCAAATCGTGCACGAATTCGATTTGCTCCAGTTAGCAAACGGTGAACAGCTTCCGCACTTCGTAACTAAAAAAAAACAAATAGTGGGAGAAAGAAAATCAATATGGAAATAAAAAGTACCATTTGAAACCAACGAATTATTGTTATCATGCATAATTCAGACTGGCCTCAGTAAAGAATAGTTGATTCTGGTAATTCAGAGAAAGTATATTGTCTGTTTGAATGCTAAGACGATTTCCTAATTTCAACCTTGTGGTGTTCTGTGAAGCCTAGACAGATCATATGTTGCTTCTGAGTTAGAAGGATCACATGTCACAACCTCAATTATATATACGGTTACTGTACAGATTTTCGAACAAATCTTTTAAGAATTACTTATAATTCCTCTTTCTACAGCAACGAGTGAGTTAAGTACTCGGGTTGAATGAACTATTTACAGAATGAGACTGACAGATCACGGAACTTTGTATGACAAGGGACTGTCAACAAACTAGACCGTACTCGTAACTGGCTGTTTTTTTTAAACTAAATGACATGTGACGAAATTCATCAGCTTATATTTATTTTACATCTGATTGTTACATACTATTAACTCACTCAATATTCTAAATCACGGACTGAATTTACAGCCTATAAATTCCGTTTAAGAGAGAGGTCATTAAACAATTACTGGTTAAAATTCTTTACCGATCAAAGCTTTTCCTTTGAATTCCACTACTAGTTGTATACAAAATTATTTACTTGTTTTAATTGTTGAATCAAATATTTGTTCCATCACCGTTGACAACAAGTGAACATAGTAAGAATGAATCAATAAGTTTAGCAAACTAAACACCATGCCTATTTGAAGTGTCCATATACATAGCCTATATCCATTTGTACATATTCATGAATAGATATAACAGATTGTTTTTCTACATTTAAATACAATCGGCAACTCTTATAATCATAAATTAATTATTAATATCTGTAATTGTCATTCTACAGATGATATGAGCATGTATGCTACTTTTTTTTTTTTTTTATCTTATTCCGTAATTAGAAAAATCTTCCAACATGAAACTGTTACAGGAGCAAATAATAACTGGTTGCCAAGAAACAAAATGGGTAAAATCACTTTAAAAATGGAATGAGATAAATTGTAGCTACGAGAGAGGGAATACAAGAAGTATGTTTTGTTTCATTTAAGATTCATATTAGTTGGATATACTTACAATATAATTACATTGAAACAATTCACATAAAAGATGATGTCAAAAAAAAACTGATTGGCAATTAGCCCTGAATAACAGGGTAATCATGAAATTTACTTTATGTATAACATAGATATATGTAAATATATACATCATACATAAATAATACAAGAAAAATAAACAAACAAATGAAATTTCAAATGTTGACCAACTTTTATTCTAATCCAATTCGATGTAGGCATATTGAAATAATCAACTAATTGTTGTAACAAATGCAATGCATTATTGAAACCTTGAATTAATTCAACAGATTGATCATTCCTAATAATTGTAGTCGGTGTACTTTTCACTAACATATCATCATCATCGGCATCATCATCATCATCATCAACATAATTATGAATATGATTGAAACTTTTTAATTTTACAATTAAAACATCAATCAAACAACTGGTGGCGATCATAGACCAAGCCTTGAAATATAAAAAACATGATAAAAAAAAATTAATTTAACGTAATAGTAATAATATTAATGATAATAATAAATAATAATACTTGTGAAAACTTCAAAGTATATTATGATGTCTTTCTTTTTTTTTTATATATACCATAGATCATCATATCTATGTGAGCAAGTGAGTGAATATCGAGTAAACAAATAAGAGACCGAAATAATGACGGTGATTGATTGCGAGAGAGAGAAATATTAGTTAGTGTTGTTTAATTAAACAAATGTTTAAATTTAGTAATAATAATAATAATAATAAGTGAAATAGGCAACAATGAGATTTTTTCACATCAAAGCTTACACATATTAAACTTCAAATTATGTCATTGTATATACACATAGACCATAAATAGTAATAAACAAACACGTAAGCAAATCGAATGCAGCAAAGAAAAAAATTGGTATCGTCAACTAAGAGTTGTAAAAAATAAAGTATTAACATCATCGTCATCATCAGTGAAGGAATTTGAAAAAGTGGAGGATTGAATTGTTTTAGTTATCTATTATAAACTCATAGTATTTTCTTAATAAGTTTATAAAATTTTCAATAATATTTATACATAATTCGATGAAAAAATATACAGCATACAATATATGTATAACTTTTTGTTAGTAGTATTTAGTTATTACGGACTGAGTTGCAGTGTTGATTATTTTCTAACAAAATTATTATTGTTATTAACTCATTATTAGGCATAAAATTATGCGCCTGGATTTACATATCACATTTTATAAGAGTTACTGTGCTACTGCTACTGCTCAATGATTGCCAAAACCAATGTAGATGTAGGAAATGTTATTTCAAGCTTTCAATTTCATGGTTAATAGTAGAATGCCTTAACCAGTACGCAATTGATTTAAAAAATAAAATTAAACTAAACGACCATTAACTTTTATGAATTACTTGCATAATTTATCAAGATAACTTGAACCTTTGACAATAGTTTTCATCAATAATTAATAACTAATTATTAGAAATAAAATATTTACAAAAATAAGATGGATATCATCGTATGATCGACTATTTACCAGTTAGTGACTAGAAATATATCAATATTGTGCTAACAATGAATGTGATCTCTAAGCAGAGTTAAACAACAGGAAAAAAACTGATCAGTTTTGGTCCTTCACCTTGACAAGAAGCGTTGAACCCTTACAAATGAATTACGGTAGAACTTTGCTGTACAGGCTTGTGACTATCTGGACTCAATATTTAATCGGATATTTCAATGATATTTGAAGCAAAAGGAATTGAGTTCGAGTTTCAGAGCAAACATCAATACCGGAACGCAGGTATATGCATATCACAACTAGCAAACGTGATGAAACGGGTATTCTGGGTTTCGGTGCTAACCACTATTCAACTCCGCTTAAAATTCCAACAGTAGCAGAAGTAGTACCAGTAAAAAATATTAGATAAAAACAACATAACTCGAGAAGAATGAATTAAAAAAGAAGGAACATAAGTATGTTAAGACAAAGAGAGAATGAATCTGGATCACTGGGATCAATTCTAATTCATGTCATTCAACATCATACAATAGTCGCGCAGACTTCAACTAGATAATCTACACCAAGTAACCCAGTTCAATCCAACAGTAAACGACAAATGGGCCAGTACAACGTCTGACACTAGTTGTCCTTAGCTTTTTTCAAACCTACTGTCATTGCGCGTCAAGACAGACAGTGTATAAATACATTCAAAGGATAGTTGGGAATTAGAAACCTACTTTCAGTGATCATACTACATAATTTGAATGAGAACAATTATTAAGAGTACAAAATCTACTGATTATGAATTGAACAAAATTGAAGTTGAAGGAAGGATTTGATGGTGACCAATTCGGTCTCGTATGCTGTTATGGGTAGATGTTACTTCCCCATTGCCCCACACCATGGAAGGGTGTTGATTGAGGAACCTGAAAAGGAAGGTGGATTGGCGTTGGTCTTAGAGACCAGGGAGCATGAACTAACAGAAGATTAAGAGATGCTTTATGATAATTTATTCAAACAAACGAAAAATCTGAACAATAGCAACAACGAAAATTTAAAGTAATATATTTCGTGACAGTAACAATACGAACATACCAGAAAGTTGAATCTCATATAATCTAATTGAAGATCAGATTCAGAAGGATCTTTATTAACCATATTGATATGAGTTAAATTTCGACAAGATTTTTTAAGATTTCGTACTAAAGAACATACAGTATGTAGCATACAAGAAGTTGAGTTCCATTCCAAAGAATCAAATCTATGAACAATACATAAATAAATGTATAATATATTTAATTTATGTGATAAAAGATTGCGAAGTGTTCATATCTGTAATTACCATTTATGATAGTATCATGGGGATAAAATCTAATTAAAAACATAGTGAAAACGAACTTAGTAAGCGACGGTGATATGAAGATTATAAATAAACCAGTGTTCTCCAAAAATTGTTTACATGTGATAGAATTAGATAGAACTGTAGTATTTACGATGGAAATAAGATTTTATGAATGAGAATTACTAATTATAAGTGGAAATCCTTAGTCAGTCAGTCAACTACAACGTAGAACTTTGTACGTACGTACGTACATCGATTCAAGTTACCATACCACAGATATCAAATTATCAATCAAAATCTCATAGTAGGAAAGGTAGTAAAAATATTAGCAGTAATCAAAAAGACTACAGATCGAAGACATAATTCGAGACGTATATCCCAATGGAGTCAATTTAAAAAAAAGAAATAAACGGATCATCAGGAATTCGGATGATTCGGATTTGAGAGAAGACAAAGAATGGATGCATCTGCGCCATCGCGAACGATTTTGTTAATGACTAAAACTAGTACGGGATAGTATATAAACAGGATGGTATCAGTTTGTGAAAATTTAATAAATTATTAGTTTAAAACGCATGTGATGAAATAGAAACTTTCAAAACAGGTTTTGTTTGTGTCTATCAAATGGTTCAAAAGTTTACGACATTAATAAATTTGAAAAAAAAAATGAACATTATTATATGATGTACATCGATTGTTTAGCATTATGTTTAAACCTAGGTTTTTGTTCATCAGTTCCTATAGGAGATTCATTACATAACTCATAAAATTGTGTGAAATCTTCACGCTATCCGCAGCTAGTTTCGCCTTCCGGATTTTCTGAATCTGAAGCTTGCGTGATTGCTGATTGTTGTTTACAGCTATGCTTACTGAAACTAAGTGGATGTTATGGGATGTGTGAGCATCCGGTTCACCTCTTTTGTTCTTTTCCTTCACACTACTATGCATGCTCCCCTAGTCCACGAAGTACCTTCTGGATCGATGCGAACCGCTACATTATTTAGTTTCAAGTCAATACGTCATTAGTAGTAATTGTGCGTAACACTAAGTTCATGATACTTGGACCCTTATCGCAAGAAATCATGATAAAATACTTCAAAAGTAAGTCTGAACACTAGTTACTGTGGGGAACTCATGATAACCATGAACATTGGTTGGAGATGTTTGGTGATATAGGTGAGAATAGTTCACGGACATTCAATCTCTAACAGCCACGAGATATTAAGTTCCAGTAGTCTTTCATACATACATTTTCATTCTGCCTTTCAACAGTGGTTAGTCTTTCTCATTGTCATTGATGTAACATAATTGCGATTCTTTTGTAATTTATCTTGTTAATTTCAACTTATCGAGCTATAGCTAATAAGACCAACCTATCAGTCAGTCAGTTAAAAGGGTAACAAGCAAAAATTATTCAAACCATTTAAACTGCCCGGGGAGTTAGAAAGTCTTTATTTAGAAGAGTAATGACGATTCATGATGAATGCCGAGTTCTTTCGGAAATCACGAGGCCGATGCCCCCACGGTGTGGGCAGCCGGAAAGTGACACCGTCCTCACATCCGTAAAAACACACGAGACCAAATCGATAATCAAATCGTAAAAGACCAACGTATATATATATTGTACATTACTGATAACTTACTTATTAATAATCGATAACATTTTAACTAGATCACCTAAACGAGGACAGTTGGAAAGTGATTGAGGTGTAACAGCATGATACGTTTGGTTTGACTTTTTTCCTGTTATTTGCAATTTTGATGATGATGATACTGTTTGTAAAGGTAGTGTGGTTTGATTACATCTATATTCCCAGAGAATATTCAACATTTGAGCCCACCAGTGAGCACATGAAACCTGATCACTCGTTTCTTCTACAAAGGGAAAAAACTATAATATCTGTATACAATTATATCAACAAGGAGAAATGCACACCCAAAAACGTTTCAGTATAGATATGAACTGATAGTAAACAAAAATGATTCAATGAAACGTATGCAGATGAAAATGGCAATATCTCTGATGGAGCTGTTGTAGTGGTTGAAGATGTTTTTGGTGGAGTTTGATCCTTTAGCTATTCAAGTGGAGGAACAAAACTCTACCAAAGACATATATTATCTAGCTGATACCAACACCAATACTTTCGTACAGGAAGTTAGTACAATAGTAAAAACCGGTCAATTTTTTAAGTTTTGTATTTTATATCTACGTATAGGTTACCTGCTTTTGTGAAGATTTTATCCTAGATGAAGATTATTTAAACAATTCAGTGATAAATGTACTTACGACTACTTTTAAGAATTTTACAAGATCGCGGTAAAAAGCCACATCATGTGACGTGAGCTACATCTTAAGGAAGAAGTATGTCAATGAAGTTGAATAAAAATAACAAAATATCACGGACTAACTGAATACAAAAATATGCGACATGTTAGGTTTCAGAATTGGTAGTTTTAAGAAATGTTATGAACACAAACAGATGAGACCTCAATCTATATATACGTGCCACAAGATATTATCCAATCAGACAGTGATCACACGTAAAATACAGGCGTTTGGTCAAATATGGTTTTTTTCCAAAGGGTCAGATACAATACGGTTTAAATTTCTAACGGATGAATATATAGATTTACATTTACGTCTGAATAAGTGTAGTTAGTTGCTTAAGCAATGAAGGTCCTCTCACTTACACGGTCGATTGGGTTCGTGTATAGACAAACTGCGTTTCAGTACCTCAGCCGGACACTGCATAACAATATGGGTATTGTGGATTTAGAGCATTAATTAAAGAAGATTCAAATAATTGTTAGTTTTTGTCGGTTTATTCAGTTAACGTTAGTTGTTCATGACGAAAACTATCTTTGACTCTGTGTCTGTGATGACTTTTTTCTTGTATCCATGCACAGTGTATTCAGCACTCGTTTCATCCTTACCATTACTCATCCAGTGTACATCAGTTCATGGATTATCAAATCAGCAAGTCATATGTATTACATTTATCACTTGTATTATTACACTAATTTTGTGTTCATATTTAGTTTACAAACTACTAAATATATGTCCAATTTTATTATACAGTATAAGAGTATGTAGTGTCAGGTTGTTGAAACTCACAACTGACTCTTATAAGTCTTTATAAGTATATGCACTTTTAACGAGTTGCAAAAACGATGTCATACATGTTCTGGATTTACTTGTTAGTCATGATACAAAATGAAGTGAACTAATTATTGAGGCATCCCACAAGAGTATAATTGTATATGCGATTCGGTAGCCAAACCTTTGGATTCTAATTGCTAAGCCCCAGGTTTGAACCCCATTCTACTTACTTCGATTTGAGCAACCAGGTTATATTGCCATACATCAGATCTAGAATATGGCTCAAAAGCGAACTTAAACATTGTAACGAGTAAATAATAATAGGTACATACAAATTATTATTAACAATAACTGACGGTAAGATAAATAAGAATAGTGATTTTGACATTTTTATAATTAACTATAATTATTTTGTTTCTTTTTTGGCTGAAATAGAAAATTATCAAATGTAATGATGTATCACTATAAAGAATGCATAAGTTAATTAAAATAATAATAATAATTATAGACCAGAAGAAAAATAACAATAGTATGAAAGAGTATAATGTTTCATAAGCAGATACTGTAAATGATGCATATATAACTATGTAAATGAACTAACCATATTCAATTCTGTAATTATCCACACTATTATTGTAAGCATTTAATGATGGTGATAATTGTAACAGTAAATGAATATATGAATATAAGCTTTTCACTTGATCAACTTCACCATACAATATAATCTAGAAATGAAGAGTAAACCAGCCATAAGAACAAAAACAATAAATTAACTAGTAATAATCTTCACTAATAATTAACTATACAATGGAACAATGTTGTCAATGTTAAGTGGCTGAAGGTAGCTGGTAGAAAATTTTGGACACAAGTTTCATGCTAAATGATCTGGAAGCATTAGTTCCATGAAAATTAAGGATACGCCCGGCTGATGAGTATTGATTAACGTAAAGTTCAGATCTAAGGTTTGCTGTCTGCTAATTTTGATTGCTTAACATTATTGAAGACGATATCAATTCAATCAGACTGATAACCACCACATTGCTGCCTGATAGAAATCAACCAGAGCTTAAGAGGAATAGACAAATATGGCATTCATCACCTCTCCGTAATCAATCGATATAAGTATTGTTATTAGTTAGTAGATTCAAAAACGTTTTGCTCGTGAATGTAACCCCCCATGTCAATCTTACTTTTTGTGACAGAAATGAATACTTGGAACAAAATGTTGTTTTTATTTTGTTTTGAACATGAAGCAAAACAAGGTCATAAGTTTAACTTCAGTCATCCGATTTCCAAAAACTACTATATAGTCACTAATATGATTTAATGTTATAGCCATCTGTTAATGAGTCAGTCAGATATAAGTAAAGTACAACTTGCTCCATATGTGCATCAGTTTAGATTGCCATACAGTATCAGTAGAGTTAGATAAAATAATCAGAACAAATGTCATTTGTGAAAACAGTAACAGTGAGTCCGAAAAAATATAAAAAGGATGAACAAAAAGTGAAAGATAGTTTTAGGACTCAAGATCACGAGGATGAGTGAATTCATCTGCGACAATCTAAGTTAGTGAGCATCTTCAAACAGTGGTTACGATAAGTGTGCTCATTTAAAGTGGGTAGTCTATACTTCTTAAACAAAGCTAATTTCTATTAAAGAAATTCCTGATGCTACGTTTTGGCTCGACAACCTTCAACGCAGTACGTCGAGGAAGAAGGTTATTGTGCATCGATAATAAATGCCCTAACCGGCTCATTTGACCAGGGTTATCACAAACTAATCAGTTGTAGCAAACTATCATCAAATTTCGAACACATCAAATCCTATTCACTTTATAGTGTACTGGTGTGTGTAATAACACGGAAACGAATGTAGATTTCTGAAAAGATGTATCAGCTATGCTTTGAAGATAGGACTTGAAAAACAACATCATCTTTCTAGATAGTTTATGATGACAACAACGACGACAGATTTCAGTGTTTATTGAAGATATAATTGACTGAGGCGAATAAGTTATTGTGAAATAACAAAGACATAGAAATTCTTTCACTTTGACTGTTTACTAACTTTTTAACAATAAATGTTTGAAGGAAATAAACAACACTTTAACACCAGGTGCTTTGTTTTTTGATAGTGTTTGAGTAACTCAAGGTTATGAGTCAAATTATACAATGTGGATGAAAAAGTTTCATGTAGAACACCGTTTACAACTAGTGGATAGTAAACCATTAATCTACCAAGTGCTTAATAGATGAGAGTCAAAAAAACCCAGATAGTGGATTCAAAGAAGAAACAGACGCTTTGATTCAAAACTGTGCACTATCTGAATGACGCTAATCATTTATTCTACAAACGTTAATAATCATTTATGACTTGCCGTTGTAGTGATAAACATGACAGAGTATTAGTATTTAAAGCATTTAACTTCTAATCACTGCATTATCTGTTTAAACTTTCTTACACCTGTTAGACAATCAGTAACAGTAGGATTAAAAACACTAACCTGAAACTCAACAAAACAAATAAGCCTGTATAATTCACATTGAAAAAAGTTATTCATAATATTTAATTAAAGGACACGGCATTAGATTTTAACAATTCAGTAATATCATCACCGACTACAATGTTACGTGATCTAGGTTTAGATTTGATGAAAAAGAATGCTTTTCTTTTGAAGTTAAAGGTGGTTAATGATCATGAAATATATCAAATAAAAAGGAACACGTTTATAACTCAATGAATTTTTTTCAATCATTTAAAGAGAATAAATATCATACGGTAAGAGCAAATAAATAAGTATCATAACAATATTATTATTATTACTATTAATGAAAGACGAATACCTTTAAACAATGACTAGTAATATGCTCACGTAATTCAATCAATATTTGATTGATAATATTTTTTTCTGTATAATTTGCTAGTGATAAATCTTTGCCGGATGAAGATTCGTGTAAACCGATGGTTTGTGTAGGTCTGGTTAATGATGATAACGATGACGTTCTATTGATACCTATGGCACATGAATTCAACTTTCGATTAGAAATAATTAAATTGATAAATGTTGAATTATTGAACCAATTTATCCATAAATTCGACAAGAGAAATCGGAGAGTCACATGAACTGTCATACGAATGATCAGCGACTATGCAGCGCGTAATTAGGAAGACAATGGTGCCATTTTTGCAAAAACAAAAATAGGAATATATGAAAAAAACGTCATAAGAATTAATTGAAAACTATATATTTTCTGAGAAATTATCAAATCAATAACATGTATGAAATTATAAGTATATCGTTTAGGTCCACATGTTTTGTGTAACCACCAACTTCTTAAAGGCTCTAAAAGATGTACAAGCCGTCTTATTTTACAGTGGCAATATATCTGGCCGAAATTTAAAAAATAAAAACTAACAGCTCTGTGAACTAATGGAGAAGAAGAATCAAATTCACCAAGATATTTACAACTATATAAAACCCATACGATTAACTATATCAGAAATTCATAGTTTGTCTGAAGTAGATTACTTTACTGTCCAATTTTAGACATGTATGGATCCTCATATTATTACTATTAAAAAAGTGGCTAGTAGATATTCTTGAGACTGTAAGAAAACTATGAATTGGTTTATTTAGCAAACTGGTGTGCATATTCACTGGATAAACTATAATGAAATTTCTTGGGGAAAATATTACACTATCTAAAAGCACTGTCCGACTTTTAGTCAAAACTCTATTCATCATGAGTCAATGAAGGGAATGCTTGAGATTTGTATATTGATATCAGAGTCGAAATCAAAAAAATCATGGGACTATTGATCAAGATGAATTAAATCAAATTGATCAATTGGAAAATATAAGTAAACAAAGATATACAAGTTTGAAATAAAATGTCGACAGAGGGGGGGGGAGGATAGCGATTCGCAAAGTAATTATTAGTGTTATAAATCGTTTTACTTATTTTCTGTTAATTTTCAATGCAAATTAACTTATTTACGTTTTCATGCCATTTCTTGTTTCACAACACGTTCGAAAACGCTTGAATTTATCTAACAACTAGTCTTGTCATTCAAATTTAACATTAGCCACCAGTGAATATAGATAATAGTAGTAGTAGCAGTAGTAGTAACTGTATACAGAGCAAAGTAGTTGCTTGTGATAAATAAGCTGAACAAGAGAAAGAAAATAACCAATTACATAATAACACAAAGAAAAGATGAATAAAATACAATAATTCATTTACACCAAGATAATGAAGTCCAAGTTTTCGTTTTAAAAATAATCCAAGTGTAACACCTTGTCTGGACAAAAGATTGATAGGCAATTTTTCATTAACAACTGGTGATGCTTGAATATTTAGATTAGTTGCATTCAACTTGTCCTTACTATAAAATATTTCATGAGTAGACACAGAATCAAGAAAGTCTCGAATACACATTACAGTCAAAGAGATATTATCCAATAAGCGATTGAACTTGAAAAGTATAGAATTGTTGATATTAACTTTTTTCGGTACATAGTCTAGAATAAAGAAAAAAAGGTAAATACAAAAAAGATACCAAAGAACAAACAAAAAAATACTTCTATCACTAATGCAAATCGTACTATTATAATGATTATTCTTGCCTTTCTTTGTGCCTTAAACAAGAACTAAACAGTATCAGACAATGCAGTCTGAAGAATGAAAAACGAAACTTATGACTTTGTTTAATCAACTGTGTATGGAATGAATTGAAAAAAGTAGTCCTATGAATCATTAATTATCAAAACATTAGTCAATTATTAAAGATAATAAAATTTTTTTTAAAAAAATGTAAATAAACTGAAAAGGAATATAAATGCCCACAAATTATATTGAATATGAAAATAACGCCTTGATTTTTCGCGTTTCTATGAATTTTCTTCAATATTTTTTTAACCTCGTAGGGCCACCCATACTAGTTATTAATTAAGTTGTCAAGATAAGTAGAAAGATAATTACTGGAGGCAAATGAATATGTTTCGAAGTATGCATTAGACGTTAATGAATGAGTTATTATTAAATGAGACACTACAAGTGTAAAAGGTGATTTGGCACATAAACGAAAAAACACACTATACTTAGAATGAGAAAAACGAGATGTTAAAAACACCGATTACGTTTAATTCTCCTACCGAATATTTTTTCAGCATTGGTACGTCACGTAAGATTAGACAGAAAAAGAGAGATCAGTGAACTATTTCGAATGAAAATTCGTCAGTAAAAATTATTACTTTACAATACTACATACTTTGAGTGTCAGATAAACAATAACGTGGGATTGAAAGTAGAAGATATTCGTTACTATGTGATCGTGGTTATTTTTAACGTACTTGATGGCATATGTTGGGACTGCTGAGAGAGAAATGTTGATGATAGATGAAAGGTACTAGGCAAAGGTGGTATATCAGTTAACAAAGTTAATCATTATTGATTGAGATGTTATCTACGCTCAACAACTGCCTATTATGATATACGATGCTTATTGATGTAAGAGTCGGTCGGTAGAAAGCTGGAGGTGGCTAAACAAGAACGTGACATCAGTTTACGAGGTTATACAATATTAATCTGAGTCATGTAGGTAGATTCTTAAGGTGATCGTAAGCAATGTTTAGGGTTGTTCTGTGATAATGCTTGAAATCAATCTCAATGGCACAGTTGCATTTACTTTTTGTTTGACTTTAGATCCCAATTTATGCCTTCTATTCTGTGAATTTATTCACTCTTCTCGAGCACTATTTTCTGCGTTTGATTTCTTTTTGTACTACCACTGATGCTAACACCCGTACTCTTTCTGAATTCACCATGATAATTTCATCCGACTGTGCTGATCTGATGTGGTAACTTAGATCAACGCACAGACCTGACAGATTCTTCATCACTCGTAACTGGTTTATTAACTCACTGAAGTCTTTTAAATTTAACATTATTGCATGGTTGAAGTAGTTTGAACATAGTTGTTGTTTAGTAAAACATACATTTTATGAGCTAGATGTTATATATATATATATATATATATATATATATATATATATATATATACCATAATTCATAAACACAGCTCGTATTTCAGTAGATCAGTTCAGAAGTACTCGACGATTGAAATGAATGATATAAACCAACATAGGAAAACATAATACTTAGAATTTATTCAACTTTTTTCCTGGATGCCTGCTCAGCGGTCTAGCGCGGTTAGGCGTTCGCGCGATACAGGGGGTCCTGAATTTAACTCCGGCGTGCAGCGTCGCGGATCCATACTACTGAGGGGAAGGGCGAAACAGCCTCCAGGTTTTCAGTAGTGGTCTATTTGAGATAAGTTCATGATTTTAACTGCGCAAATTTAGTAGTGCAAGGAGCCTAATTGTTTTTTATTTCCCAAACTGTTAATTAAGAAAATTAATTGGAAAAAGGCACTTACCAAATAAATATAATTCCATTAGGCGTAAGCGAACTTCCGCTGCGGAGATGATATTCTTTTCATTAGAGTACGAACGATCGCTGTCAATTATTGGATTATGTTGATCAGGTTTCTTTTTAAAATAACATATCCAAAGCCAACAAGGTAGTTTGATAGAAATTATACTAAATAGGTTAATTCCTAATTTAACTAAAGATCCTGTGCATAGATAAATATATCGAGGAAGAGAAACAGTTGATGCAGATTGAGCCAATTCCGAATGTTTACTGCCAAGTGAATATAAGCATTGTTTCAAGTGATAATCAGCAACTGACCAAGTTAGCTTTAATTAAAAAATAAAAATTGGTTAGATGGAGACAGTAATCAGATGGTATGTACCGTTTAAACCGTAACCTATCTTCTAATTTTCACTAAAGTTTCGGACATAACAGACCTACATCAAAAATGAATCATTGTAAACATAGTATATAGAGTGAGTAAGGTTTTAAATGATTTAACTTTTTGGTTGGTTCATATTAGTTCTTGTAAGCAGGGATAATTGTGATAACCGGTTTCTAATTCAATTGATTGGTTGTTTTCACTTTTAGTCTGCATATTTTACTGAGTTCCAAGGTTATGTTCTGTTGCTATATATAGTTGTTTTAATTCAAATTTCTCATATCTCTTTGACTTTGGTCTCCGTTAGTTGTACGATTTATTGACTTCATATATACTGAAGGAATGTCACAATTGTTCTTTAAAAGGGAATTACCCTAGACTCATTATGAAAACCTAACTAGGATACATGCACACCAGAATATATTATACAAACAATAGATTTTGAATATAACTCATGTATTCTTAACAAATTGAGTGTACAATTAAGAATGTTTGGAGAAAGTTTTATCCAAAAATATCGTCTTCGGTCTCTTTAGAGTTTTGCTAGATTAATGATGTCAATTTTAGCCAGCAGCTGAGTGATGAAAATATTCGTCTTTCAAAAAACACGTTACATCTTATAATCACATTTCATTGTTATTGGCAGTGGAGGTAGAAATCAGCTTAAGAATAGTACATGGCCAGATACACCATCAGTTTGATACGGTAACTAGCATATCTCAGATATAATATGTATGAATATGCACTTATAACTGACTAAAAGGATTCTGGAAGGTTGAGGAACAGAAATTAAAGTCTGAAATATCGACTACTGAATTTCGACTCAGTGGTCTAAAACTAACACAATCATTGTAAGACAAGAAACAACTGATTTCCATCCTTGGTAAAGTTGTATATGTACCCTGATGAGAAGTCCCAAAAATAAGATCATGTAGCTATCAAGTGCTCGTTAATTCGCAATGGTTTAGGAAGAAAACTATCACTAAATCCTTCGCCCACGTCATGTGATACACACTACAATTAACGAATGAACTAACAAGGCTTGCCGTAGTAGATAAAAGATGAGAGTACGACTTTTCCGCATACACAGAAATAAAAGGTAATTTCCAAACACTAAACTTTGGTATTCGGTTTGTCCGTCATAGGAAATGAAACGTTTTGGAACAGATGCGTGTTGATCTAAACTAGTAACTTAATGTTATACTCATGTTAGATACAGCAGATTAACATAAATGTAAAGTTAAAGAATGCAATTTTGCATTCCTTTTAATGTTTTTCCTTTTGAAGACTATTTTACAATTCTATGAAAATAACCGTTCCCATCATATCAATATTACTAATTGTTTTCTAAATTTTTATCCCATGAAAGTAATCTATTTATCACATCTCTTTCATTCAAGCATAATATTACACAAAAATACTTTCGAAAGACATATATATAAAGCCGATCACCATTGTTAATCTTCGTGTGAATATCATTCTGAATATTATACTAAATCCACTATGAATCATTAGGAATATTCTGAGCGATGATGTAGAAGCACTGGTACTTCTCACTGAATTCAGATCTGAATTTCTATTATCAACGTCATTGATTGGATATTCAGTAAATAAAATAAGCTCAGTATTAAGCAAATGAATTCGACTATTCATAAAGTTAAAATCCACTTAGTTTTTATGTTACAAGGTTTCAAACTCGCAATCCTACTGTATGAATTACGAAATGAATGGACTTTGAAATATAGAAACTATTGAATGACAGCTCAGTGACCTGAAATCTAGGTGTCCACTCTCAGACCGGCAAGTCCTGGTTTTGATTCCCGCTTAGGTTGTAGACGGGGACTACTGAGGAGCCCCATAATAGAACGAAGTAGCTTCCCGGCACTTGTTGATTCTCAATAGTCAGTTCACGACGTAATCTATAAAAATCCTATTGTACGAAGCTATACTTTGGTGGGTGGTGTATTGACTTGCACTATTTTCATCATGATTATTATGAAGTGGTAGCTATATATCAAACTGTATTAATTCAACAAATGAAAGAATATATTGATAAGCTTATCCCTAATTAAAAAAAGTAAACATGTATGTATTAGAAACATATTCAGATAGATAATAAAGAAGTGAATCAATATGGAAGGTGCTTTACCTGACTTATAGCTAAATTAGCTTGTCTAAAATGTGATTTAACCTCATGCGATGAAATGGTTTTGTTTTTTGACTTTGACCAATAATAATTATAATTAAAAAGATGAACATGTATATGCTTTTTATAACAAGCCCATGAACATAATAATAAAGCGATAAACCATTGTAAAATATACATTATTGATACAAGCCATGAACTAGGCATATTCATTGTTAATATGCTGTTACTGCTGCTGATGGTAGTGGTAGATGAATCGAAATACGAGAGCAAAGTTCTAGCATTTGATACTTTAGTGTCTAGGGAGCAAATAAAAGAAAACATCACGAAATAACAATAAATATAAGTAATAAAAAAATGAACTGTTTAGCAATCAACAAATGAATTCACAATGTAAACATTTTCGAAAATTTATTGTGTCTGAGGAATTTATCAAGTATTTTCTTAATGTGCATTGATTAAACAATAACCAGTTTATTAGTATTTTCATTTTAGATTGTTTTAACTGTAATTGTAATAATTTGACTGATTAAATATTGCATATATATTTTACTGTTCATTAACTGTAGTAAATTAATTCTAAACTAGTTACTCAAATTCACAATATAAATATACTTCTATTTAAACAGACATACTATTTATGGTATGCTATGATTATGTATGCTATGCACAAATATTCGAACTTGGATATTGGAATAATATAGAATGCTAAAAAGTACTTGTCCATCCTTCTGATTTTTACAATTCGGGTAAACATAGCACTTTACTCTGTTTTATTTCTTGGTTATTAAAAATTAGTCATTGAAAACAGGAGATGAGTTAGTCGTGAAGATAAGGGGTACGTTAGGAAGGATTTGATTGTGACTAATTTGGCCTCGTGTGCTGGCAACGGTATGAGAGCGGATGTCACTTTCCGGCTACCCACTCCGTGGGTGTTTCTTGAAGAACCTGGAAAAGAAGGTAGATTAGTGTAGGTTTAAGAGACTTGAGAGCGTGACCGCATAGCCCGAGGGACAACTGCTTGAGGCCGATCACGCAGGGACTTTTTATGAGACGTTTTTGAAGTGTTAGCCCCTTTTTTAAAAGCCCCTACCGCCGGAGACAGAAATCCGTGAGGTAGGGTGAGGTGTGACATTTTTAGGGCCGACCTTTTCTAACCCTTCCTTCCTTGTGAGAAGGCAGCATCGCTGCAGATCCTGGTTGTCCGAGGGAAACACCTTACTGTTGTCACACTTTTCTGCAGTCAGCAGTACGAGTTCGCCCTCAGAACTTGAGTAGCTGCTTTTACTCTCATCATTCCCTAATCGACCTGCTTAGCATGATAGAACCTTCAGGATCATATGTTCCAGTCAATATAGCTTGGTCAGGTCACCACGATAGACAAGCTTGATCACCACGTGAAGGTAACAGCTACGGTCGGGGGTGACGAAATGACCACACGGATTTGGAAGGCTCGATTGGCTTTTGCCAACTTGTGTCACTTATAGCGTAGGTGAGATATCCGTTTGCTAACCAAAGGACGAGTGTACTGCACTGCTCTGTCCTACTATATGGATGCGAAACATGGCCGATAATGGTAGGTGTTCGTAGGTTATCAGTATCCGATTACAAATGTCTTCGAAGCACTGCTCGTATATCCTGAGACAACTGAGTAAGCAATGCTGTCGTTAGGAAACGAGTACTAGTTAAGAATGGCAGATCAAGATATGAAGTAATGAAACTCCATCAGTTGAGGTGGTTGGGACATGTGTTACGAATGCCCAACCACTGACTGCCTCGTTGAGCTAGGTTTTGTGGTGTAGGAGTAAGTTGGAAGAATGATAGGGGCGGCCAGACTAAAGCATGGCAGAAATCCATGAAGTCACTGACAAGTGGATTGAGTCATGTTGGTATGTCCAGGCTGCCTGGTTGGGGTCCGCGAGACGAAAGTCACCAATGGTTAGAGACCTTGAACGACATGACTCAAAACCGTTCGCAATTGCGCAGGTGCATCTACTATTTGTGTTCTCTCAAATTCTAACCTCGTGACATGAGATATTCTTAGGTTACTAGTATTTGATTACATAAATATCTTTCAGGTATTGCTTGGATATGCTGAAAGCACTAAGTGAGCAATGTTGAAGTTAGACATTCACAAAAATCATAAATCCAAAATTATCTGAAAGAACTTTGAATTTCCTTATTTTTCAAAACTTCTTTCTTAATTTCAATGTTTGACTCTTTAACTAAATTGGTTTTGTCTGTCCAATTCAGTAGTATCATTAAATACCGTAACTTATATGTGGCTTAAATTAAAATTTACAAGACTTACTTATTTTATTTATTGAGTTGTACTACTATCTTACAAATAGATAAGTATCATTTAATTCAAGTTGATGTAGAATATCTCAAACAGTCATCTGATTTGGATTACATGGTATAACTTAAAATCTAAACATTCATACAACAAAACCATTCTTGAATACCATAGAAGTATTTTACAAAACAGAAGTTACAATTAATTATAAATTCACACAAGATATTCTAGTGGTCGGAAAAAAAAGAATCTGAACTAAATAGTAAAACAAAACATTAGGTTAAAAAAAATACATAATAATAGCCAGATTTAATAAATTTACCTTTTGAACTACTACCGCTACTGCTCATATACGCTTGATTAGTTAATTGTGCTGGATTAAAAGCAATAAGGCATAGGGCAGCAATGCATAGAGTAGTACGTGCTACTACTTCATTATAACCACCATTAATTGGATGATGTTGTTGATATTGTTGATTTACAGCAACATTTGGTATATTACCTTTTTTAAGCACAGGTAATGATGACATATGTGAACATGAATTAGGTTCACATAGTAATTGACATACAGTAGGAAATTGTGCTTGTATATTATTAGTATTATTATTTGTTGATATGAGGTTGAATTTTTCTTTCATATATGGAACAGCTAGTTTCTTTACTTCCAAGTCATGATTAACTAGTAAATGGCCACATCTTGCCTTAGTCGGAGAAGACGATGCTCCTCCTCGTCCTCCACCGCTGGAATCATCAGCTAAAAGTAGAAGAGGAAAGTAATTTGTGTCAGACAGAGAGAGAAATGGTTGTAAAGTGAATGCCATCACGTGACATCTGGTTACCAAGTTGTAAGGAGTTTATTTACACAACACAAACTATTTAAGAACACATACGATTTTATAATAAAATCACGCCAGACAATAATCAAACTTAATAAGTACATGAATATATTTATAAAATAAACATAATAAAAACAAAAAAGTTAGTTACAAAAATATTTTTGTTAATGAATAAATGACCCAAATTAGTATTAAGGTCGAGAGAATATGAATCGTTAAGAAAGAGAAAACTTATTTATTTAGAATTTAGACATTAATTCATTGTTAATCTGAAACCATCACAAACTATAGTGGTTTGAAGCAAACTTTTTTTAACATGCATATAATATTGATGCTTGTCTGAATATCTAAAGTAGAAATTAGTGAGCTAAATGATAATCTGGTTTTTAGTATCGGTAGAAATGCTATTCAGTTCGATAGTGTCACGATATATACAAACTGATATTCACGCCATTCACTTTAGTTTAGAAGGCATTTTAGTTCTTAGGTGTTGCACTCACGTGTTAAATCTGAAATATTCACAGGGATCTAAAAGCAATTTGTGAACAATGTGAGTACAGGTTTAAACTGTAAAGGAGTTACTTAATAATTGACATGGAAAGATATGAAGTTATCAAAGTTCCCGTGTGATGAACTTTAGATATCTAAAATGATTAAAAATAATGAAAACAATTTAATCAAATCTAGTCGAATATACGCATTACAAACCAATTAGAATTGACTGGTAAGTCGAAAGCAACGATGAAGTTGTAGTAAGTGGATTAGTTAATTGATCTAGGTTATTAACATCCATCAGGTCAGCGATTATAAAGAATGGATATCATACTACTTGAAATAACTCGATTAAACCACCAAACTATTTGTAAAAATGAAAGCACTGACAAATATTATGTATATAAACATAATTTTTAGGATGTCAGGTGACTTAGGTTTGTATCGAGAACAAAAGAATGGATCGATGAAATATAAGTGCCTTTTTCTTCGATATATATTTACCTAGTTGGAACAACTCGTTATTTTTGGCGAATCATACTGAACAGTTACAGTAAGAGACAAAATATCATTCGAATCCATCTTGACGTTAACGAATACCGGGGTGTACACTAGCAGTGGTTTCTATAAAAGGATCAAGTATACATTATACGAATTAATGATTACTTGCAGATATAGAGCTATAGTTTGAACGTTCATCTTCCAGTTTTGAATAGGAAATTTAAGCTAACCGGACCTTGATTTGTGCTTAAACTCTAGAATACGAACGGTAAAATAGTACTTGAGTTGATTGAATGTTAGTATCCTTAGAGAAATTCGCTTAAAACATCTGATCTACCAAGATCTAAACTGGTTGAAACGAATAACAGTTACGCAAAAAACATAGAGGACTAATGGAAAATAATCATGGTTCTTGTTTTATATTTCATCATTACTTAATAAGAATGATACAAACGTTTAACATACCACAACAATATTGTATACGACAGTAAAATATGAATTAAATATTAAGATAAATTTGTCTGTGTAAATGCATAGTCTTATTAGGTCGATAAAAAAGCAGTTTCATAGAAGTATCAAGAATTCCAATTACTGTAATCTACATATGTGTGGTGTTTGAATGAACTAGTAACTTCGTGTTGTTGTGAAATGCTTGATTTCGAATTCTAAATACAATACATTCGTTGTTGCAGTTCTTTAATTCTTGATTCATATACTTCTAAGTATCACAGTGGCGTCGCGATGGAACTTGTAATGGAACAGCTAGATATTCATTCTACTTCTGAAGCTTTTGAAGATTATTTGGAAAGGTTTGAAATCTGGAGTATGACCAGGAAAGATGTCAAAGATGATAAAATTGTGGCTCATTTCCTAACATTCATCGGAAAAGAAGCGTACAGCTTATTGAAAACCTTGGCATATCCAGAAAAACCTATTTCACTTCCCTATGCAATGCTAAAGGAGTTATTATTGAATCATGTAAAGTGCCCTGGTTTTGAATGCCGTGAAAGAGCGAAATTTCATAAGATGATTCGTCAAAATGACCAAAATGTTAAGGAATTCATTCTTGAATTGCAGAAACAGGCTGTCAAATGCAATTTTGGTGATCAACTTAATGTGCAGCTGAGAGACCGATTAATTGCAGGAATTAAAATACCTAGTTTGGAAAGAGAGCTGTTAAGAATGTCAAACTGTTCCTTTCAAGATGTCAGAACTGTGTGCATTAACTACGAGGCGTTGAATGAACTTGATATTCAGTCGATGAAGATTTCCAATACTTTGATTAGTTGTCATGATGAAAAGCAATCTCAGGGTCAATCAAAATTGTGTTCGTTTAACAGAGGTTCCTCTTCTCGTGTAAAAATGAACGGTGTCTCAAAAAAGAATTACAAAGGAAATCAAAAAGGTGAGACCAAGTCTGGCAAATGTTTATCATGTGGAAAACTTCATTCTCGTTATTATTGTACATTTCGTAATGCTAAATGTTTTAGATGTGGTAAGATAGGACACATTCAAGCAGTATGCAAAGCTACTGTTCTTTTTGCCTCAAGTAGTACTAAAGCTTGTAATTTAGATCCCAATAATTCAGCTGATCCTAATGATCATTTATCTTTAACTACCATTTCGAAAGGTAATGCTCATATTCAAAAGCGACTATATACATCACTTGGTTCATTTCATGACTTTATTGTGGACACAGGCAGTATAGAGTCCATTATTTCATTCAAGAATTTGAAATTGTTAGATCTGAACGTTGTGATACGACCCACTGATGTATCAATATTGGGGATTACTGGACACAGACTGCCTATACGAGGATGTTGTGAATTGCTAATAAGAGATGATGATTCCTCATACATGCCATGTGAATTCTTAGTTAGCGAAACGGGACTGTCAATACTGGGTTTAAAGAATTTGAGAAGACTTAAAGTGGAGTTGTCTTTCCTAGTTTCTAAAGAAAATTCTGATGCTTTACTTAAAGATTTGATAGCCACGTGTGCTAAGTGCAATGGAAGTATGAAAATGGTTCAGCACGGGAGTGCCAAGCAAATGCAACATGTTGACTACATTTCTCGACAGTCATTAAATGCAGATATTTGTCGTACAGCAAAGAATTGAGAAAAGTGTCATAAGCTGAAAAATCAGCATTCGAGGTTGAGTGATTCTATTGTCGCCTCAACATTTAATGAGCTGGAGAGGGGAGTAGATACCTTTCTACTGCAATATAGAAATGCCAGACATTCAGTGACGAAAGAGACTCCATCAAAACTATTAAAAGGAAGAATTCTTCGGTCGAATATGAGATGTTTGGAGTCTGCAGAAGTTGCATATTATCGTGGCAATGAACTTCGACCATCCACGGGGATCGTTCAGAAGAATGTTGGGAAATCTATGGTACGACTTCTAGATATCAATGACTTAAGTACACACAATCGACATGTTGATCAAATACAATTCCAAGAGCCAGGTGAGTCTGTTCCGATTTCGGTTGTTAATTCTAATACTAATGAGAGCATTCTAGATAATACAGAGTCTTTATCCAATACACTGTCGGACAGACACAGGATGAATTTGAGAAGAAGATGTACAACTGATTACAGACATATACATTCCAATTTAAGCGGTGGCGGATGTGGTGTTTGAATGAACTAGTAACTTCTTGTTGTTGTGAAATGCTTGATTTCGAATTCTAAATACAATACATTCGTTGTTGCAGTTCTTTAATTCTTGATTCATATACTTCTAAGCACCACAATATGCCAAGGAGAATAAAGTATGATAAACAAATTAGGAGTTGGAGAATATAAGTGAATAGATAGGTAATATAATATAGAGAAAGAGAAGAAAGTAGATGAACTGAAGTTATTATTATTAGCTTGTATCTTCTAAACATCTGTCAAGAAGTTTACATTTGACTGAATTATTCAATTGGACTCAGCCATGTTAATAGGTATGAACTATTTGGTTGAAGTTCAAGTGATTATTGTAACCAATGATTAGACTTCGGGTGACATTAGCTAAGAAGCGATCGTGACGGAGCAAGCTGATGTGATTTTTTTATTTCTTTCGAGCCTGAGTACGGAAATCTCCTTATACCTTTTATTTCTTTTCCCATACCTAATATTTTTCACTACATCTACTACTCTGGAACCTTGAAATAATTTTATCTCACTGTGGTAATATGGCATGGCAACTTGGGCCGATGGTCATCGCTAACTAACGGATGGTCTCTGTATAATCAAAACTAGAGGGCTTTTCGCTAACTTGATTCCGATAAAATTGGAAATCAGCAATGATTATTGTAGACATACATGTACTATCTAGTTCGGTCACCTCAATTACTGAATATTTAGAACTTGATTGATCTACTTACTTTCTTCATTTAAGACGTGTACGTCCTATTCCACAGCTGAATATATAAGTCTGTATTTACTCAAATTATCTTTACGATTAGTATTCACATTTTGTGATTACAAAAAGACGTACAATCAATGATGGTCATGTAACATCATAAATTGGCTGAAATTATAAATATACACCAATGGAGACTAACTCAACGAATGTGAATGAGACTATCTCAGGAAAGGATGGCTGTATCATTTATTCTCAATCCAGGAGATTGGACCGATGGGCAGAACACTTTAGGGATCAGTTCAACTGGTCTTCAGCCACAATTCGGTTGCCCACGATCCCCAGTCATCCTGAATGGCAAATCGATTTAAGTCCTCCTAGTCTAGATGAAGTTGAGAAAGCTATAGGAAATCTAAAGGGAGGTAGAGCATTAGGTCCTGATAGATTGACCCCTGAGATTTTTAAAAATGGTGGTCCAGTTTTAACACTTAGACTGACCGAGATCTTAGGTAGAATCTGGGAACTGGACGTAATCCCACCCTACTGGTCTCAGTCGCTAATTGTCCCAATCTACAAGAAAAGATAAAAGTCTTCTTGTGACAATCACGGGGGAATAAGTCTAACTAATATAGTTTCTAAATTGTTAGTCTCTATTATACGTAGACGCCTAACTAGAGCTGGTAAACAGCAGACCTGAGAAAACCAGTCTGGTTTCAGACCTGGACGTGGCGGTATAGACCACATCTTCACACTACGACAGGTCCTGGAACACAGACACACATTTAGACGTCCGACAATAGTTGTGTTCCTGGACCTAAAAGCGGAATTTGACTCAGTGGATCGTGAGGTTCTTATACAGGCTCTCTACTCGAACACCACTGGTCGAGTGAGAGCATATGGCAAACTGTCATCTGAAATCTCTACATCACGTGTTGTCCGTCAGGGATGTCCACTCTCTTCATTCCTGTTTAACTTTGTCGCAGACATTCTCTTAGAGTTAACATTAAGCTCGTCAGATTTCTCAGGGGTTGACCTTCTACCAAGAAAATCGCTTGTTAGCTTAGAATATGTCGACGACATAGTTCTATTCGGTGAAGACGCTGACAAAATGCAGAGTCTTCTGACTACCCTGAGCAACAATGCAAGCATGTTCGGGGTGCGGTTCCCCCCCCTGAAATGCGAAAAGTTGCTTCAAGACTGGGTTGCATCGGCACCTGAACTAATGATAAGGAGTGAAGTAGTCGAGCGTCTTGTTCACTTCACTTATCTTGGGAGTCTCATCAGCGCTGATAGCCAGGTGACTGACGAAATCTCAGCGCGGATACAGAAAGCTCGATTTGCTTATCTAATTTACGCCGTTTATGGCGTAGGCGAGATATCCATTCGCTAACCAAAGGACGGGTGTACTGGGCAGCAGTTCTCTCCGTTCTCCTATATGGATGCGAAACATGGCCGATAATGGTAGGTGTTCGTAGGTTATCAGTATCCGATTACAAATGTCTTCGAAGCACTGCTCGTATATCCTGAGACAACCGAGTAAGCAATGCTGTCGTTAGGAAACGAGTACTAGTTAAGAATGGCAGATAAATAGATGAAGTAATGAAACTCCATCAGTTGAGGTGGTTGGGACATGTGTTACGAATGCCCAACCACTGACTGTCTCGTCGAGCTAGGTTTTGTGGTGTAGGAGTAAGTTGGAAGAATGATAGGGGCGGCCAGACTAAAGCATGGCAGAAATCCATGAAGTCACTGACAAGTGGATTGAGTCATGTTGGTAGGTGAAGGCTACCTGGTTGGGGTCCGCGAGACGAAAGTCACCAATGGTTAGAGACCTTGAACGACATGACTCAAAACCGTTCGCAATTGCGCAGGTGCATCTACTATTTGTGTTCTCTCAAATTCTAACCTCGTGAATTCCTCATCATCTCTATCTTCCTCTTTCCAAATTTATCTCACTGAATTATACTTCTTGAATAATATCTTCAAACCCTAGTCTTCTTCATTACCATGAATACCTCTACTATCTTTATCACTATGGGATATGATTTGACATTCGCGTCTCTGTTCTAATGTGGTATGGCAACCTGAACATATGTACATACGTACGAAGTTCTACGTTGCAACTGACTGACTGACTGAACTCAACGATTTAAAGGTAAGTCGCTCGTCGCTAGCCGTGTGTTTGATTCCCGGTAAGATTGTAGATACGCATCGTTATGAAGTCCAACACTAGGAGGAAACAGCTATCCAATACTTTTTGGTTTCCAGCAGTTATCTGATTGATATCAGTCCGTAAAGTGCAATTTCGAGAGAGATATTGCTAAACACTGATATTTAAAAGAAACTCTTTGAATTTTAAACAAACCTAAACGTTTACGATGAACTTTACGATCGTAACCACTTTTCTTGATCAATGACTGTTCAGGTAAAATGACATTTGGATTCGGTGCACAGAATAATTGTTCTGGTCCACAACAATTTTGAATATTTACTGATTGTAATAGAGGGGCTGATGGTAATGGATGATAGTAGTGGTGCTGTTGATAGGTTGGTAAATTTTCATTATTAATACAATTATTAATATCATATGAATCATGATGTTGTAATGCAAATGATGGAACGATAACACCGTTGTTAGATAATGATGATGGTGGTGATATGGAATATTGTGAATTGGTGGTGAATTTAATATCACTATTTAATTGGAAATTAGGCGGTGAATTGACTGATGGAGGTGATGACAATGAAGATGATGATGCAGAAGATAACGATGATGATGGATGAAATGAATAAGAATATTCTTTAATTTTTTTCATTGATCCTTCTGTACTATTTGAATTATGTGGTGATACATTGGTTGGCTGAATAGATTTACCTGTAAAATGAAATACTTGATTAACTGATAATGGCGTACATTCATTGGTAAAACTATGTGGAGAAGTTTTACAATGATGATAATAATCATTCATTTTTTGATTGTCTAAAGATGGTGATGTTTCAAATGATAATAATTCATTTTCTGATGTACTCTCTGTAAGGAAGACACACAAAATACATGATTAAATACAAAAAACGCTCATTAACTAGAAGCTTTTAATTAAACCTTTATGTCATGATCATGATACATTTTGTTTAGAAATCTTTTGCATAGTATTAAAAATAGAGAAGTGTATCAGACAACACTGACGAGTTCCTCACATTTTAGTCGAACAGTTCAAATATACAATTGAATAGTCAGTAGATCACTTGAATTTATGTTGCTTTAGATATAAGAAAGAAAGAATACAATAATTGTCGATAACATTTAGACACCTTCAGTAATATCAATTATCAGGTTTTTCTTCGCAGTTGGCTTTAAGCAGGAAAGAGCTACACTTTCATACCAAGAGTTGTATCTTCAATAAGAACGTCTTAAAACTAGGTTGAACTCAGACACGGAACTAAATATCTTATAGAAATTATAGACAATCAGTTTAAGTTCCTTCTAGCACAAAGAGAGCTATGCAATCCATGTTACACAATGAGTGTTGTTGCCAGTGTATGATACGATTACATGCTTAGGTATTATCAAAGCCACAACTACTTACTATTAGAATCGACGTAGGATGCGTTCGAGGCGTTACATGAACGGAAAGCCATTAACTCTGTGTTTAATTGTGCGTTTATTTCTTCAAGTTCACGAATACGATCGATCGCGCGACGGAGAACAGCAGATTTATTCATCTACAGCAAAAGCAAAATAAATAAATAAATTGTACATCGACTGACTTTAAGTAAAGAAAGTTTACTTAGTTGGCTTAGAGATACATCATGTGCAAGGGTTAGTGATAACACTAGTCAGTCGCCCAAACCATAGTAGGTGGACTGGGTTTGGACCTGATATCATATAGTTGAAAGGGTGTTTAGACCTACATGCCACCACTCCAGCAGAATATTTAGCTACTAATGTATATCTTTAGCTTTGCAAATTGGTAATATACACAAAAGGTGTACGATAACGAACGAAGACAAAGCTTCTATTTAAATAAAAATGATAGAAAAATAATATGATCGATGTAATGGTTAGTACAATCAACGATTTTTCAGTTTAAAAGCTTTTTATCACCCAGGCCATAAAACAGATGACACGTGGATGGATCATGTAATTTTAGGTCACTAGTAGTCTAGATACTCGACCTATAATTATTGAGTGAAAATAATTAAGTAGTAACATTATTAGCTCTAGCATAAAGAGTATTAAGATTTACACATCATTAAGGATCTGCGTTCAAGTTTTATGGTATACAGTTATATATTGTTCAACCAGTAACTCAACAACTAACTAGTACTTTGATGGATGTTTAACAACGAAAAATTCACAACTTACCTTCACATCAGAAGATGAGGTAGGTGTTAGAAGTTTACGAAGTTCGTCTATTTTCCCGTTTATACTGGCACGATAACGTTTTTCAATAGCATTATGAGGTGCACGTTTAACAGTTTCATTTTTTTGTTCACATTGCTCCATATTTACTTTGATATCTTAAACAAGTAAATAATAATACCAACTAGTCAATAAATACAGGAGCAAGTAAAGATTTCGAACACAATTTAATGGAAAACCACAACTTACATGATTAGAACAATTATCTATCGCATGTGATGGAAGATGGTTTGGCAACAGAGTTAGTCAGATTTAAACATACACCAGTGAGTCCCAGGTCAGTAATGATGCTCGGAAATGAGGTCCAAGATCCTGGGTTTGATTCTCAGTGGAATAATTTAGTGCCTCCGGGCTGTTAATATTTGTCTAGCTAAGATCAATTCGTGATTTAAATTATAAGGATTCCATGCATCTGACCCCCATGCTAGAGCATAATTGACGAAAAACGGTTTAAAAGCCGAAAGATCTACTTTGTAGTTTCATGCAGTTCTCCTTGTGAATTTAAATAAAGCCGTAGCAATTGAGAAACCACGAATTCATATGATTAATTCACATTATTCTGCCTCGATTGTTGTTCTGGCTTTATTTAAATATACTTTGAATCGGACCAGTCTAGTAAGTTGTTAAAAAATGTGTTGCATCCAAAAAGAAGTAGCAGTAGGGATCAATCTATGTATGCTGAAAGGTAGGTTAACTTAAGTTAATCTAGATCGTTTCTCGAACTGTCGTGATGTTAATCTGGCAATATAAGGTTCGCTATAGCATACGTCCGTAGGAATGCTTTTGCTGTATACTTTCAAAACTAGATCCCTTCAAGTTGAGGATATTCAATGGCGCTATGTATTCGATCATCATCTGCAGAGGATCGTTCACATCTCAAGGTAAAAACGCGTTGGTAGTGACCAGGTCCGGCAATGGGCGTTTGGATGCAGTGACGATAGTTCAATCGATGTCATTATCTTGAAACACAATGTACAACGGTTTATTTACCGACGATAGCACTATGTAAAAAAACAGCATCTTCTGCTAAATCAATCAATCACTGATTACTAAATACTATTTCACTCATTAATTAATCAAACAGTGTCTCTTTTATCGTTTCATAACACTATCAACTTATTCTAAGTTGCGCTTCTTTTTTGTGCCTTTTGCAGCAAAACTCTTGTATTACAAATAATTACTGATAACAATACACTTTGCAACTCAATGCGTAATAAATAATTGTTGGGAATCCAGAACGAAGTGATTCAAAATTCAAATCCTAGTAAGTGGCAATGAAATTGAGTCGAGGAACAAAAGTGGATTGACTGCGGACTTTGGTAATCGAACAAAGTAATGCATGAAATTCAAATACGACTTGTTATAATATCATTAGAATAATATACGCCTAAATAGCAGGGGAAAATGCACTATTTACAATCATATTTAAATATCAGAAGTCTTGAGGCGAATTTTAATTGGCTTTATGAGAATTGAAGCATTTAAATTTTATTTCATTGTGATGTTTTGAATTTTTCTTTACTGAAGTTACCATAAGTGACTATTATAACACAGAAAACAGCTAGATACCACAGAACTTCATATAATAGGGCTTGGGTTATCCTATTTTTCATCAACACAAAGACTCGAAACGACAAAAAAGAATAAAACTAAAAACTATAAATGTTATCATCTTTGTATCGAAAATCTGGTGGAAGGTGAATTATAATCGACTTTTAAAAATATATTCTTCTTAATTCCAAGCTATAAATTAGTAACATCTCTTTGGAGCCCTTAAGGAGCTTCTTACCTCTAATTAAGATTGTATAGACAGAAAGATATTATCACTACAGCCAGTCAGTCAGCTAGAACGCAGAACTTTGTACGTACGTACATCAGTTCAAGTAACCATACCACATTAGCAAACAGAGATCGAACTGTCTATTTAAATCCCATAGTAGTAAAGGCAGTAGAAGTATTAGTAGTAATCAAAAAGATTAGGGATCGAAGATATGATTGGAGAAGTATATCCCAGTAGAATCAATTTAAAAACAGTAAAGAGATCTTGAAGAATTCAGAAGATTGGAAGTTTGGAGAAGACAAAGAATCTGTACCACTGAGAAAGATCTTGAGTCGTGTCACTCAGTCTCTAACTATAGGTTACTACTATCACCATGGAGTGTAGCACAGGTGCGGGTTGACCAAAATCGCTATATTACATTAGCACAACAGGATGTAATCAAACATATGTAAAAAATTTCCAACAGGGCACTTAATCATATAAAAACAGAATCTGGTATATACGGGCATCAGTTTAAGATGCAGCACAGTATCGATACAGGATGATCAAATTATCAAGATGAATAATACTAAAGCGTCTACCTTCTTCATCCTTGTTGACTACGAAACGTGCATTCTCAGGGCCTGAGTTGATTGAGTACTGGATAGAGTATGACCTGCCTGAGTCTACCTCGTTTTTAACATTAAAATTTTGGATTTCGGAATCACACAATAGTCTGGATATTAGGGGCACTTCATATTTGCGCTGAACGGGTGTGCAAACTTGACCATCTCCCTTTACTTGAGGGAACGTAGGGCGATCAGCAGATATAGTTCCATAGAACTCTTGTTTGTCTTGCTCGTCTTTCACGCTGACTGTTTCCCATAGTTTTAGCGCTAAAAAATCATGTCATGATTTAAGTGGTCTAACCTGTATTTGATGGCGAAACGTCTGAAGCTGGTTTGGACTTCAGCAGTGATTCCAACATTGTTTTCTCAGATGGGCGACCAGAGATGCCACCATTATCGAAGCTTTTCAGATCGGTGCTGTCCAAAAATGTAGACAGATCGAAAGACAGATCGTTCACATCGAAGTTATCCAAAAAATTTTCAGAAATGTCATTAAACAACGGATCGTCGAAAATCTGTGACAGAGTCACTAGATGTGAACAGATTATTATTCATTTATAGGTAGTTACCTGGTTCCATGGTTATCAATGAACCGTTCCCGTCCAAGTTGCCAACCACTTTGCCTATCTGATTGTAGGCCCGACGATAACAGGTACTGGAGAGTCGGTGTTTGAGAGAAATCACTGGACAAACTAAGGTAATGGAAAGTTTTAAAAAAAACAAATCTGGATTGATATATACTTAAGTGGTAGAAAATTGTGGTAATTAATGAAGTATTCGGATCTACGGGTGATCACACAGGTTGTAAAACTTTAGCCACTTTCAAGATTAATTTACATCCACGAGTCGGGCTGTGTGAACCGTTTGATATTACTATTCCACACTGTTTACTTGATTTCGTAGCATTTTTCTGCACAATAGACTAACGATAAAAATACATGAAGTTTGTGACAACGGTTGCTGTTCATCGAAAGATTCTTCAAACAGATGAAAACATTATTTCACAACTTTGTCGATAACTGGATGAAAAACATGGATTCGGTTGTAAGTGCCTTCATAAAAATGAGATAGAGCGTCTGTATATCTCATCCGCAATCAAGCCTATCTAGACAGAGATTCCAGGGATTGTGAACCGATTTAGGTGTCTAGAGTCAGACCCTACTCTATGTTAAGCTTTCAATCCAGGCAACGTATAAGCCTCAGAACAGGAGGGTGAAGGAAAAAGTGATAAAACTTAATAGTAGTCAGAATAATGATTACTATTTCATAAAGTTCTAACGTTGTTTAGACATACAGTCAGATGTCTGCTTATCGTCAAAACTCCCGCATATATTCAAGTTCCAATTTGAGTTTCGCTCGCTATAAGCAAGTCGTTTGAATGGTTTTTCTACTCTCGGAATAAGTAGCTTGCAGTTAGTCGAAAATTCTTCTGCTTATTTATGCTGTGTAATGAAGTACATTTTTAAGCAAGAACTCTTAATCCTGCTATACTTTCAATGTTTGCTCATTTCAAATAACAGCTTAATCTCCGGAGTGTTTTTCCTAAGGAGTTCTTATGAAATTCATTGACACTTCCCAAGAATTCTCTCTGTATATAAACGTCTTGACCCTCTGCCAGCTGTTTATTATTTTTCGCATCAGTTTGCTTTCCATCAATATCAGTATTTAGTGGTGATCATAGTCAATCCGGTATCCCACACCACTGAATACTTTCAGGAATAGCCTGCTTCTTGATATTCTATGCAGTTAAGATATAGTTACTGGTTGTACTCGGTTGAACTTTGGTAAACAGTGCTCTGATAGCAAACACAAGTGTAACATTATAATAATAATAATAATTTATTCTCAAATAACTAAGTTACAAGAGTCACGCCAGTTTACAGGCTAGATCAAATTGTCACAAATGCTTTTACAATTACTGTAAAAGTTATAGCAGTTAAATTAAGTATAAGAGACAGTTTCTGATTGCATATTTACACCATATCACTGACAGTAACAGTATTATACAGCCACATTTTCAATATTAGAGTACAAATGAGGAAGGTGCACAATAGGTTCTATTGGCGATTGGCCGAGATCAATAGTGAATTTGTTGGGAAAGGTCATATGGAACGCGCTTGATACGAGCTGTGATCCAGACAGTCATGTACATTGGGTGCATGTTCCCTAGAGTTGCCAAGGATTTCCCACCGTGAATGGGGTTCTGAAAAGGAAAAGAGAGAGAGGAAAAGGCAGCAGTGTGGCAAGTGTATATATATAACCAAAGCACTACTTAACCTGTCATGTTAAAGTAGTCAATACAGTAGTAAGTCAAGATAACATTCATACTGACCACTTAAATTAAAGTAAATTATGGGAATATAAGAATATAACGCACAGATAAAGGAGTACAGCAAAAAGAAGGGAGAGTTGTGCAGTGTCAGGTGGATAGAAGAGAAGTCGAAGTAAGAAGCTGGATTTATGTACGTTGAAATCGAAATTCTAGTTAAAAGAGTAGAGTTTGTAAAAATAAATATTTGATGAATAAAATCTCGCACTGTCTAACTGTTTTTTTTTCTTTATTATTGAATGCCAACCTCTAAGTCATACTGTAAGCGCCTGAGTAAGAATGTTGCAGGTGTCTCGACAGAATAGCGACCTCAGCATAGTTTTGGAAACATGAACCACAGAAGTAGCAAGCGTATAAGAGCAACCTCAGTGTTACTGATTAGTCGTCTCATCAATCTAAAGAGCCGAAAGCAAACAAAATGTTCTGCCCCACAAACATGGGTGGTTTGAAGTTATCGCCCATACCATCAATGTTTGCTGGTCAGTAACTCCACCCTCCCTCCTTTTGTGTTGTTAGGCTCATGTTAAATGTTTAAAAGAAGCTATTGAGTTCTACTTGGTGTTCTATGTCTCGCATCCTGTTGAGAAACACTATTTCTGCAAGTTCCTTTCACAAACTCGTCTGGCTATTACAACTTATGAACTATTGGTTAGGCATCAATGCTATACAGTTAACAGTTATGGAGAAATAGTAAGAATTTTCAAACAAGATATAAGCATTTTGAATGTAGTGGGGAAGATGTACTTAACTAGCTAAGCAGGAGATATAAAGAGTATCGCGGTTAAAAGCGGAGCAATAGATAACACTAAGGGGCCAAAGTAAGTCAATAGCGTGTAAGTGAGAACAGTATAATTGATAATAGGCAATGTGAAACTCACACAGTTGTAAGTGTTGATAAGGTTGCGCCCAGGAGAGTAGAGTGCATTCTAATCAACCAGTTTACAGTTGAACAGTGTCGAACGACCCAGTTAGTAGAGTAACCTGTCTATTTCAAATAAAAACTAAAGAGATTTATATTCAACTAGAAAAATTAGTGCTACTTGGGAGTGTAAAAATAACTAAATAAGACGCAGCACTGAGTTCATTGTGTTTAAAGTGTATGCAGAGCTATTAATATGAAAGCAGGGTGCGAGTGAGTTCACGAGCGCAGAAGAGTCAGTGCAACTGAGAGCATCATTAAGAAGTTCAACAAACTCATGTAACCCACTTGCCATGCGTATTTTAGAGGGAAGCCTATTCCATATAAGTGCATACTTAGAGAGGAAGAAGTTTTCTCGAGTTTTGGATCTATACTTCTCAAGTTTGACCGTAGATACTTTATCTCGGAGGTTATGTGTACAAGGGCCATGGATAAGGACTAAACTGCAGGAGGGATATGTGAGCTTGTGCAGGAGTTTAAAGTAAAGGATCAGATTGGACTTAAGCCTTCTTTTCCATAATGGATCGAGCCCGAGTTCAATACATCGGGTTGGATAGTCAATGGGTGAGCTATGATTTAGGACTTTACGAGTAAATTTCCTTTGTATTCCTTCAAGTTTCAACATATCAGACAGGCGTACGTTAGAAAATAAGAAAGAGCAGTATTCAGCAATAGGTCTTACGCATGTTTTATAGAGAATTGTTCTGGATTCTCTATGAAGGAAGTTACGAAAGATGAAACCAAGCATTCTTCTCATTCGAGAAACTTTATTGGAGATATGTTCGGAGAAGTTAAGGTTGTGCGAATAATGCACTCCAAGATCAGTTACGGATGTGAGTTTGGGCAATACACTCCTGTTGAGAATGAGATCTAATTTGGGAGCAGCGTCTCCGAAACACATCCAGCCACACTTCTCAGTATTAAGTTCAAGGTTCCATTGCTTACACCAGATATCTACAGTATTGAGTTCGTGCTGGATTGTGTGCACTAAGTTTCCTAAGTCAGATTTGCTAGTTTGATAAATCACTTTTAGGTCATCCGCATAGAGGTAGGTTTTACCAGTGTTGAAACAACTGCATATGCTGTTGATGTAGATTATGAAAAGTAGTGGACCCAAAACACTGCCCTGCACAACACCACTGGTAATTGGTCGAGGTGTAGATGTATGTGAGTTGATTTTGGTAACCTGATATCTGTCTGTGAGGAACATTGATATTCCTTCGATGATAAAAGCCGAAAATCAAACGTCTGAATCGACGAAAATCAACAAACCTTGTCGGAATCGATTGTTGCATGGAAAGTTACATGAAATATCAAGTAACAAAACTCCCCACATTAAAAACTTACAGTTATTTTCATGATAGCTCATGAAACCAGACGAAACTATTAATTAATAGTGATATGGAGATAAACCAACAGCAAACTTGCGAAAACATAAACACATATCCAGAAATGCAATCCAGTTCGACTAAACTTACATTTTTTCCAATTGCTATGTTGATTTATGTCCTTCATCCCCCACGTTGAATATGAAAGCCACTCTTGCAGCATCCATCTTTTCTGTTATTTCTATTTTGGAACATGTCTCAGTTGAGAACCAAGAACATGAAGCTAATGACCAATATATTCACCTTAATCTCTACTTACTGGGAATCGTTCTGTAAAATTATTCAATACTTATAACCACTTTGGTTTTAGTTCCATGTTGTGTATCAGTAACATTCAGTTCAGCAGTCAGCACGTAAGCCAACACAGCCTTCTTATTCTCCCAAAGGTTTTCACCGATGATCTCCGACGATTTCATGAATTTAAACTTTAACGAAAACTGCCATAACTTACAGAATGGTCAAGATGGCAATGAGGCTCCACGAGTATCTAATACCAGGGCCATTACTATCACTGTTCTGGCTTCTACTGGTCTCTCGTTTTTCTCTCATTAACTTTCGCTGGAATTGTAAATAATTATGATAGTTTATCCTCAAATGAAAATGCGTTACACAAAGTATACCAGTGTACATGCAAGATCAAAATATTAAAAAAGCTAACACGTAAGGGGTAAAAGACTGTTCAGTTAAATAAATAATTTACAAGATACACCGGTTTGTTATTGAGGGGTAATACTTTTTCTATGTAGGATTTAGAATGTTCAAGACCGCGGAAAGTTTAAGAGTTTGTGTTTCTGTGAACGACCATTGGTCGAAAATAATGCAAGAGGCAGGAATGTATAGGTTGGCGCGAACTATGTTGGTTACGTTGTGATTCATGAATAATCAACAGTAAATAATGCAAGTTAGATCCAGAGCTGGATATGACAAGGATTGATGGGATAAT